AATAGCAAAAAAATATTTGCAAAAATCACAATTTGAAGAGTACAGTTCTGAAAACACTTGAAGTAATGTATTAATGATTTTACAATTATGTTTATATTGTTCACTACAAAGAAACCAAATTGTTTTCTACATAGGAAATCGATTAGTAGTGTTATGAAAGATATTTATAGGTACCAAATTTTATATTTAAATTGATAAAGATATTTTGACTTTATGCTAAAAAAGAAAAAAATACCATGTTATTCTTTTAGAAATATGGATGTGAATTTTTAAGAATAAGAAAAATTATTTAGTCATACTTTTGTAATGATCATCTTAATTGCGCATCTTATTGCTTTCCGATGATCACATCAAGAACATTGCACCCAATGGGCTATGGATAAGATGCGTTATATTGAAGAGGAATGTACCTTAATCCTCTATTCGCTATCTTTCCACTGTACACAGGCCAAGCAACTTCAGAAACAACCAAAGGTGAGAAGAAGAGAATGTATTTGTAGACAGAGTAGTGCAGTATGTATTCATTCATTGGTTGCATGTCGATGGGTGAACTTTGACCTTATGTCTCAAAACCATCCAAATGATATTTTCGCCTGTCAAGCATCGGCTTGATGTGGATGTATTTCAGCTTGTGATTTGATTCAAATTTGATTTAAGTGTTTTGATTTGTTTAAAAAAAGTATGGCTATGTACAGTCATCAAGTGTAAAGAGAGAGAGAGAGAGAGAGGGGGGGAGCAGATAGAGACTATAGTTAGTCAGTCAGTCAAAAAATAATTTCAAAATTAATCTTAAAGAGAGAGAGAGAGATGGGAGAGAGAGAGAGAGAGGGAGAGAGGGATATAGGGATATAGATGGGAGAGAGAGAGAGAGAGAGAGAGATGGGGAGAGAGAGAGAGGTTGATGAAAGAAGTGCAAGAACAAGTGATCTAGGACCTTTCTTAGCATCTCAGATGGTAGTGTTTTCTTTATGCTGATGAACTTGATATTTGACCAAAAAAGGAGTCAAAGATATTACAGGTTTGTTCCTGAAAGATCATTGATTGAATTCTACCTCTACCACTACTGCCACTGCAGACACAACCAAGACTACCATTATCAAAGTGACTTCCATTCTAATAAATTCATTACCCTTACTATTACTACCACCACCACCACTCACTATGAAATTAATATTTTTGTTATCTCTATACATATTAAGTGTCTACAGAAGTTCTGTTCCATATTGATATACGCTTATGCTATTTCTAAATCAACCTGTCCCCCATCTTGACCTATAGAATGACCTATAGCTGAAATTGACTTGATATTAGTCTCTTGACACCTCCGCAAGGCCGGTCACTCCTCCTCCACGCCACTTCCGAGAACGGTCTCGCAAAAATTGATTTTCACGCCATCAAAGGTCAGCTTTCGTTCCATCTGTATTGTGATTACCCATCTTCATTGGAGCATGTGATAAAGGGGTATGGCGGTCCCTCTCACTGGAAATGAAATCAATTAGGTCTGGAGGAGGTAGACTATACCCTCTTTTATTGCCTCCCATCAAAGATTGGAGGACTGGACTTGCATATACTCCAGACTCAAATGCTTATTTCATTTCATTTCATTTCATTTATTTTCCACATTAAAAACCAGAAGAATATACAAGGTAAGAAAATACATTTTATACATTTGACACATAGATCAAATGAAAAACAGATACATAAGCATAAAAGAACAATGAAAATCTACATCAGTTAACAAACATCAACATTAAAACATAAAAAGGTGAGTAATGTAGATGGGGCTAGAAAAAGCGAAGCTTGTCGAGTCTAGCCCCGGTAGCAATGAAGGGGAAGTCCACCCTGAGAATGTGTGTGGCCAAATAAAGGCGGAGTAAACCCATCCTCAGGGTGGACTCTCCCTTCAAATGTCTGGTTTTATAATTAGATTAAATTGACCCGATGAAAACATCATTGCGATTTGAAACATAATAATAATATTTTTTTTAGATTGATATGGCTATTTAGAATTGCTGAGGTATTTTTTATATTTAAATTTAAATTGTCGTAATGATGCGGATTGTTTGAGACTGTCATCTAAAGCAGACCATGTAAGGTAACCCTGGTACTTAAAACTTCTTTGGCCAGTAGCAGTTCTGTAATAAATGCTAATGAACTTATGCTTATCATACCATTGAAATCAAATCAACCCCCTCCCCCCCCCCCCCCCCCTCCAAAAAAAAAAACACACCCACCAAACAAACAATATGATAAGAATTATGGAGCATAAGGGATAACAGTATCGGTAGTTGATATCAAGCCCTCCACGGTAGTTAATGCAGAGTTAATTTTTGTCCACTTGCATGTATGTAAGTGTGGATGGACTAGTCTTCTTTCAAGTTTCTTTTACCTTTATCCATGATGTATTGAACTGTTTAATATCTCTACAGGAGATATATAGTATTAGTCCACTGTTATATCAAAATTTGATAGATGCACATCAAATATTAAAAATGGGAACACCAACTGTCTTTGACCTTCCGTACAATCAACTATTCATCAAGCCTCATCGTTTTGTCCCAGCTTTCATTGAAGTGGTTCATTGCCAAGCTTGTGTTTGCAGAGTTTCATAAAAAATTGGGGTAAATTATGAGCCTTGACATTTTAATAACGAGAGGAAAAATGACCGGGCACCTGTAGAATCTAATCACAAGGATGCACACAAAAGAGCAGCAACAAAAGGATGGTATTATGCTTGAGACTCGGAGCCGGTTTATTGCGGTAGTTGCTGCTGTCGCATGATTAACTTTTCTCCTGCTGGGTGCTGTCTAAGTTAGATATGAAAGGGGTGCTCATTAGTAAACCTTTGTCCGGCTTAATCCAATTAAAAAACATTCTCCCAAGCCTTCCCATTATTCATTACCCTTTATTAGGGCTTATCTATGCATTGCATTGCCTTCTCTCTCTCTCTCTCCCTCTCTCTCTCTCTCTCTCTCTCTCCCTCTCTCTCTCTCCCTCTCCCTCTCTCTCTCTCCCTCTCTCTCTCTCCCTCTCTCTCTCTCTCTCTCTCTCTCCCTCTCTCTCTCTTTCTCCCTCTACCTTTCTCTCTCAATACAATATCCCTCTTCATTTCCCTTAGAAAGTTCAATATAACCTTGCATAATCCAGGCCTACCATAGAGCAACTAAGGGAATGCAATGTGTGCACAGATCTCTATCGGTCATTGATCCGATCAATACCCGTCATGTGTTTCAGCTGAAAGATATCGACGGGTCCCGACGATGAGTGCAGGCCGTAAACACGTCGCTCCCGTTGCTTTCCTTCTGTTTATTATGGAATATTAACAAGTGTTTTCTGGCTGATGGAGGGAGGCTGGTGGTGAGAGCAAGAGAGGGTTGCATGACGCTTCAGTGGATGACAATAGATGAGGGGAACTGGTAGGCAGATGGTGGAGGATGACGGTGTTGGTATTGGTAGAAACCCAGACATTGATGTGAGGGCATTTATGGATATTGGTTGCCGAGAGAGATTAGTCTTCTCGAATAGCTGTCACATTCAAGCTCATTAGTAATAAAGAAATATTCCAGAGAGAACCAAACCTCCTCAGGACCACTTCAAAGCATCTCCTCTTCATCAACAAGTTGCTTGGAGCCTCCGAATCCATCACCTCATCGCACTGAATATGAAAGTGCATCCGACCAGTTAACAATGGGAATGCAAGGGCTCATTAAGTGCATTAATATCGCTACATCATCAAATTGTGCTGTTCTTTCGTGATGAAACGTGAACAAGCTTGCATCATCGACAATGGCCGGATGATGCGTTCCCTGGTAGGAGGATGTAATTGTTAAGGGACAAAGACTTTAATTGAATGATGTAGCATGGCTTTTGTGCGGGAAGACCAATCATCCTTGCATGAGATGCGGTAATGATGTACAAGGACAAAAAGTGACACTTTGTGCAATAAAGTAAACCAAACCCATCGGACTAAAGTAAGGCAGCTTGATGCATCATTTGCAGTGGCGATCTTTTATTGAAAGTCACGTGCAGCGCTCCGTCCTGTTGAGTTTGTGAATCCTTGGGATAAAAAGATGATGGAGAAGCATAAAGAGAATAACATATTGACTGAATATGCATTTCTGACAACCTGACACATAGCACAAGAGAAGTATTGGATATTAAGCAAGTTTATCAACAACAAACGCTGAAGCTCCATGTCTATATTATAGAGAAAAGTGTGTTCAACTCATGCCATTTTTTCTGCTCATCTTGAAAGGTGTCAGACAGGGCTATGCATTTTTATGACGCTACTCTGGAATACCTATGCATTTAGATTCTGCATGATTGTGAACTCTCTAGCTTCAGCTGAATAGTGCCACACTGCCCCAACAGATCAAGAGTGTCGGGTGGAATTTCATGTTTCTAAGGTGTATTTGTCGGGAGTATATTTGTAACAGGACCTATGGCAGTATAAATTGGAAGAAAAAATGAGAATCAAATTAAAGCAGAATAACAGTTCTGAGCTCGTAGGCATACCCTGGACATAACATCGTCTGTTATGGTGTGAGATACATCACCAGGCTTTTAGATCGACCAATCAATGATTATGATACCTGTGGTCTCTTAACACTTCGAAAACATTGGATGTGCCCTCAACCAGTATCTTCAAAACTCTTTGATAGCCTAGCCGAGGTTCACGCTACATTCCATTGACATCATAGAACGATGCTTGGAAGACTAGGTCACGACTTTACAGACGTTTCTTGCCCGTGAACAATTTTGGATGGGTGTCGCATTTCTTTTATCATTTAGACTCTAAGAATATTTAATCCAAGTTGCTATCTTGAGATTGAAACAAATGAGTCATTTGGATCTTGGATGCATCTATTTTCTAAGGATTTACTGATTTCAAAAGAAAATTTATGAGAGCTTCATAATCGTTCTCTGAAAGGACAAGTAATATAGTAGGAAAATGCTTTTGCAGAGATTTTGATTTACAACTGGAGTACATACCACAGCCATATCCAACATGGATCAGTAGTGAACTTCAGTTATCAGAGCAAGGAAATATAAGGAAAACGTAACATATTTTAAGCAACTAGGCACAGTTCCAACAAGTTCTCTTGAAAAGGTTGCCTTAAAACACCAGTGCTCTTTTTTAGTGACCTCGATTTTGAGGATATTTACTTTGTAATTATTTGGCACTTTCCCGGATATACAACAGCTACAAGATGCTTAGTGGGACCGTAGGATCAGCAGGGGGGTCGGGCAGGTCCCCCTCTAAGGGAGGCAAGAAGGTCTCTTTGCCCCCTAACCAACAGGGCGACAAGCTCGGTGGCCCTACGATGATCGAGCTCGAGGTATATATCCATGTCAGTGTGTCGGTGGTTGGTGCTGGTGTTCTTATCTTTCATGGTAGTCTTTCTGTTCGTTTCTAAACAATTAATTAGATTTGTATCAATTTTTTTTACTATCTTAACACTCGTTAATGGTCAGTCTATTTTGGGGGATTAATTAGTAGTATCACTAAAAATTTCTCTTTAAACCAGTTTGTTAATGTTGATCCTGTACCATTTCTCTTTCAAACAGATTTAAATGGAAATTTAGGTCATAGAGTCATGGATATTGCAGTAAAAGGGGAAGCTAAATGAACTTTGAATTCGTAATTTTTTCATTTTTCAATTTTTAAAGCATATCTTAAAGAAATAATATATCTGTAACATCTAGGGATGAGGCTATGTTTATGTTTGCCTCATTTTTTTTTTATAGATTTAGCATGCGGTTTTAATACTACTGGAAAGAGAAGTGGAAATTGCCATGCCTTGAAGCGGCAATCAGTTTTACCATTAATTTGATTGAATCATGACCAGTGTTCTCCCTCCTCCTCCTTCACAAATGTAGGCCTCGTGGCATAAAAGAGACAAATTTATTATAATAGACATAAGAGGGTGGACATAATCAACTTCATAATGTCATCACGTAATGGAAAGACAAAAATGAAAGAGAGAGAGAGAGAGGGAGGGAGAGAGGGAGGGAGAGAGAGGGGGAGAGAGAGGGGGAAGGGAAGGGGGAGAAGGAGAAAGAAAGCAAGAGAGAGAGAGAGAGAGAGAGAGATAGAGCGTGTGTGTGTGTTTGTGTGTGTGTGTGGGAGGGGGAGGGAGAGAAGAAGGTGAGTGGATAGAGAGAGTGATTGCCTCAATACATGCCGATCATGATGAGAATTTCTCAATAATAATAATATGCTGTTTTTGTATAGCGCATATCACATCATGATATAATGTCTAGCTCTATGCACTTCCAAAGGACTTTGGATATTATCCCTCCTGCTTTAGCCCCAGAAACTGTAACACTCAGATGCTCGGTGCATTCAAGGAATGAATCCTACCAGGTACCCACTTACAACACTTGGGGGGTGTTTCACAAAGATCCTAAGTCAAACTTAACTCTAAGTTGGACTTAAAATTTATGGAGAATCATTTGTTGACTTGGAATTAAATATATTCAAAAGAGAAAATTCAAGTATTTTAGACTTTTTGTAAATTCCACATCAAGAACATGAAATCTCCTTGATAATAGAAAATATGAACGATTTGAATCAACATTGTATGCCTTTTAAAACAATTTTTACAAAATGTTTTTAACGATGCTAACGGCTTTCCATAAATTTTAAGTCCAACTTAGAGATAAGTTCAACTTAGGATCTTTGTGAAACACCCCCTGGGTTGAGTGTGGCAAATGTAGATTGATATCTTGCCCAAGGACATTATAGTGCTATCGTGGGATACAGAACCGCACCTTGTACAGACCCGTACAGTCTGGAGACACCCCAACACCTCTACCTAGAGTAATCGATTATATATGTAATTTAAAAAGCTGCTTAGGAAACATGTTGAAATCAATAGCATTCACCTTTGACATGGGCGTTGCTTAATTAGTTAGTGTTTCTCATACATTAATTGCGCATTCTACAGCTCTCCCGGTATTATACACACCATATGTTACATAAATCAATACCCTATCAAGGCTAGACTCATATGCATGTGGAAAACACCAAGTAAATTTTGTGAGAATGCTTTGCAAAGTATGGGTTTTCAAATGTTCAATTTTTTTTTTTTTAAAGTTAAAATTCTTTCTTGTAATGTATTGCAATTTAGGATAATCTATCTGTCCACTTGAATTCAAGCTCAAGTTTGAGTGGAAAAATCATTTTTGAGGAAGCTAAATAATTGTAAACAAAGTGCAGAATCATGCATTAACTGGGCGATATGTATCCAGAATACTAAAAAGGATACATTTCTTTGCATTTTGTCTTCAAATAATTTTCATTACACCATTTTTCCTCTCTTAGATTAGCAGTATGGAATAAGGCTAATATTAGGACTGTTATATAATTTTCTTTGACTCTCTTCCTTTTTATCACACGGACCATTGCATGTGTACCATATTTGAAAAATTGAAATGTACACCTTACTCCCTTTCAGCAAAGAAAAAGATCTAAGAAGCAAAAGTTATAGGTCCTATAGACATTTTTACTTTCCCAAATTAGTTTGCTTTATCGGATCAGATCGTTTGAGTTTGGATCTCATGAGATGGGTTGTTGGAGCTCTTCCTCTGCGCCTCGCTCTCAAATTCAATACCTTCGCATCGGACTTGGCCAACCTATGCATGAGTAGAGTTACACGCTTGATAGCTCCATCTAACTAGGCTTCTCCCAAGTGAGAAAGATGATACAATCTTAGTTTGATCAGGTTTACCATCTCCAGGCCTTACTCCATCCACCCCACCTCCATCCCTAACTCCATGGGGGAGGAAACAAACACTCTCTGTGTGCAGTGATGAATTTCTGATGAAGTTTTCATTAAAATTATGGATAGATCCAAATATGACTATGATCGTTGTGTCTACAAAATATAATTGGCTGACCTGTCCTCTCTTGTGCAAGGGATTGGTTAGGTTACGACGTGTTATGACACTTTTGCAATACCTCTGTTATTCTGTCTGCATTTGTCATTCCTCCATTTTGTTTGTGTGTGGATTTTTTCGATTAGTTTTGTTCTGCCTTAATTGTGTCTCAAATGTTGTCTTCCCTTTTTACTCTCCAGTATAAAAAATTACTTTCTTTCATAAAGTGTTTCTTCTTCATTTCAATTCCTCCATCCTTTTCATTTCTCTTTCATTCTTCATCCTTCTCATTTCTCTTCCATTCTCCTTCCCTCAATCATTACTATCTCAGCTTTATCATTCTGTTAATCCCTCATTTATGACTTTAAACCCCCAAAAATGTAATCCAGTTTTATACCAGTCAGTCTTCAATCTTTTCCTCTGCTTCCTCCTCACTTCACCCCTAAGGTCCTTCCAAACTCCAAATAAAGGGAAACCTTGGAAGCAGTTTGCCAATGCTATCACTGACTGTACATTATTGTCTCTCATTAGATCCAACATAATACAAATTTAATGAGCTCATTAAAATCACTTGGTTATTTTAAGGCCATCGTCAAAAGAGCCCCCTCTAGGGCTATACCTCCAACTTGGCCCCATCCATGTTTGTATCAAGATGCTGTACTTTTTAATGACATCCAAGTATAGGCCGATAGTCCATGAGACTGACAGCCCATGAGACCGACATCCCAGTAGACCAAACGGCCATCAGACCGACAGGTCACAAGGCAACCAACAACACTGATGACCCAAGACTGACAGCATATGAGAAATGCCAATGTCGGTCTTATGAACACTAATGTTGGTCTTCTTGGTCTTTAAAAAGTTGGGGTGGGGTGTGCACTGCATCCATCCTCGTGTCCTCTTGAAAATGCATCTTCACATTTATTTGACAAATGACTCCTAATACATTGACGTTATTGAACTACTTGATGACCGAGTTTGAGAAGGTTAGCTTTTATTGGACAGGATATTGTGTGTTCATATAAAAGTAGGATAATTTTTTCTCGACAGGGATTTTTGTGCTGTGATATTGAATTATTCCTAACGAACGATCTAGATCCAGTTTTGCCCTACTTAAATTAGGCTGTCAATATCAAAACATCTTATATACCGTAAGTCGGATTATACTTTCAGATGCACATACCGTACTCGACCAACAGTAACGCATTTTGTATTCTGAATGCATCCGTACGTGTCACTCCATTTCATTAGGCTATCTTATGTAATATTCAAGGCACAAACATCGTGAAGGTGGGAATTCATTAGCTGAAGAGGCCCTTGGTGAAAGTTTGCCTTCCTTTTAAAAGCATCTTCGACTGTCACCATTTTGAAGTCCATATAATCCAGGAGTTATACTAATGTTATACAGTAGGCTTGCGGGTGCACCATGTGAGAGAGAGGGAGGATTGAGGAGTCCTGAAAAGGACTCTTGGTAATCTTTCTAATGTTGTTAGACAGTGGTTGTGTAAAATCTTGGGATACAAGCTTTTTATTCCTCAATAAATAGGGTTTTTGTGTACATGGCGCAAACATGTATCGTTCATGATATGCCTGGTATACTCCAAACGTATTACTGGGGCTTCAGCATGGCATGTAGAGGTGTCGTGGTCAAGTGGATACGTCATAGGACTGTCGATCACAAGGTCCACGGTTCGAGTCCCTCCATGGCACTAATGTCCTTTGGCAAGACATTGATCTACATTTGCCACACTCAACCCAGGTGATGTAAATGGGTACCTGGCAGAAATAAATTCCTTGAAATGCTAGAGCGCCGCGATGGAAGCCATATGCTAAAGCCATAATCTCCCTCTGTGCCTCAGAATAGTTAACTTAGATCGATGGCGCATAATCATAATGCTATAGTATTATTATTAACTAATATGCAGCTCTAGTATCCAAGGAATCAAAACCTACCAGGTAATCATTTACTATACCCGGGTCAAGAGAGGCAAATGTAGATTTATATAGTCTTGGCATAGGAAATCCATGGTGCTGGGTTTATATTTAAACCCTCAAACTCAGGATTGAAAAGTTTCATCATGTCTCCTATTATTTCATTGCTATATATAATTCTTCAGTTTGTTTGTACCAATCATCTCTTAAATCAACTTTCAAGAAGCATCGCTGCTTAGAATTTATGGACTCATGCATGCATGCAGCATCTGTCACCACATGCTGTTTTGCTGGCCCAATTCAAACACACATTTGTGGTGAATTAATATGCAATTCATGCATGCACTGAAGTCCAAAACCGAAAACATGCAGATGTCCACAGATGAAGTCCGACAGACAGATTCCAACGATGGATATTTTGCACACCTCGGTTCTTTTCATACCTGACCTGTTTTACGAATCAATAAAATATGATGTAAACATGGACTGGAAACCAAATTCAGAATGATTTGATTGCAAAATAATGATGTTTTGCTGTGGGGTTTCAGGGGGCTATGAATTAGATTATGTCAATTTGTCCCTCGTCCGTTGTTTTCTTGAACCAGATAGCCCATGTATTAAGCCGATGGGAGAGATGAGATAAATTAGAAATAAACGGTTTAAGTGGGTGGTGCAAATTATGAAAATGTTACAGTGTATGAGTTGCCAGTGAGGTTTTTTTAATCAGAAAACAAAATATCAACCAGCTGTGAGATTTGAGGGGCTTATATAAAAAAATTGTAGAGGTGTTTTTTCCAGGGCTGATAAAAGTATAAAGGTGTTATGAGGTGCCAAGTGAGTGAGTGAGTTTCATAGAAAATGAAATACTAAGCAGGTGCTCGAGAACTGCCTATCAAAGGAACTCGAGGGTTTCGACTGTGTTTTGTGTTTTAGAAAATTGTTGTTTTCTCACTGTGTAATTAGATGTTTCTTAAACGTACATATCTTTGCTTCATCATGCATGAAAATACTTCATTTAAAGTATTTTGGATTTTTCTGTGTATGCAAATTTGTTGAATGTGTTTCAACTTTTGTGGGCTATTTCTCTTAATAACTTAATGTTGTTTCTTTCTGTAGAAGGTTTTGAATATATGTTTTCTTGGTGTTTTCTGTTTGTTTTCATTTGTTGAGATACAAAGTTATATGTTCTTTTTTCCTTCAGCTTTTTTGTTTTTGTAAGGACATACTAAATATTTTATGATCCAGAAATATAAATGTGATCAAGTTAATTTTTGTTTAAAGCACATTGTTATAGAATACTTTACAATTCAGACATGAAAATTAATTTACATTTTTCTAATCATGACTTTGATTGTTCCAATAAAAATTGTGTCATTTTGAAAGGGGATCAGTATGCAGTCACTTGATATATGATGATTATGATATGATGAAAATATAATAATTGCTATATGCACTCAGAAATAAGTATTAATCACTTACAAATAAAATGTAACAGATAGATTCCGACTCAAGACTTCACAATATTTATAGTAATTGAAAGATGCCCTACCCATGCACATGAAAATTGCTAGATAACCAATCACCATTATGTCGAAAGCATTCCAAGAGGAGGTTAAATTGTGATTAACAATTAGAAAAAGAAAGAGAATAAGTGTCTTTCACAGTTCCATAGGCTTTATTGTAATGCCTAGGTCACAAATGCTACGAACTGCTACGAACGATTTTCAGACAATGGAAATTCGGGAAGACAATGGAAAAGCAGGGAGATTTGTACAAAATTATCGTTCGTACGAACCTTTGTGATCGTAGCATAAGATACAGAGATGATTTTACTGCAGGTAATTTCTGATAGCAATTTTAAATTTATTAATTTCTAAATTTTCTTTTGATTTTCTTCAGGAATTGGTGGGAGGGACAGCTGAAAAGCGCAACTGGCGCGGCATCATCATATCTCTCCTGGTCATTCTCCTCATCTGCGCGTTGATCGTAGTGGCTATCATCATTGCAAGCCCGGGTAAGACCTCAACCACTCTAACCTGCATTCAAAGGCCATTTTTAAATTAGCTTCATTAGATACAGTCAAACCTGTCTCTAAAGGCCACCCAAAGGAAACAAAAATATGTCCATTGGAGACAGGTGACCTATCTAGAAGGTTCTACAATATGTGTTTCTTTCCAGGGAAAGACATATAGGTAGCCACTACAGACAGGTGGCCTTTAAAGAGAGGTGGCCACTAAGACAGGTTCACTGTATTTTTTATTTATGCTAAAAATTCATTTATCTAGAATCCTGCTGGGTTTAAATTTTTGCAAACCAAATGAAGTATATGATATATATTCAGAATATGGGTATGACCTCCAATATGCTAACCTGTATACAAAGATTACTTACAATAGCTATACTACATTCTTAATATTTATGTTGAAATAAATCATGGTGGAAACATACAATCTGGTTTGCTTAAAATTTTGCAAATGAAGAGCCAGAAGGGATTTTAACTCAAATGATTTTACACTGTGTTCTAGTACCCTTCAGACCCTAGACAGAGGATATATCGTCGGCCTTATGCCAAAAGGGCCTTAACTGCTTTTGGCCATTCCGAGATAATCGCGTTTAAAGGTTTTGGCCTCTCTAATAATCAAAAGTTTGTGGTCGTTTTTTTGCTTTTGAAGCCAATTTCGATAAATGTGTTAAGTTATTAAGTTTAACATGAAATGTGTTAAATTTGTTATAAAATATTCAGAATTGTACATGCTATGTGCAAAAAACATGTTAGGGCCTTTTTGGCATAAGGCTTGAATGTAGCGTATGTTAGCGTATGTTATGCCAGAAGGGCCGTAACCTACTCGGCATTATGCCAAAAGGGGCGTAACCTACGCGGCGTTATGCCAAAAGTGCCTTAACCTGCCGTTATCGTACGCGTAACTATGCGCGCGTACGCGCCCATAGTTAGCGCCCTTTTGGCATAAGGAAATTTTCTTGTTTCGCAACACCTTTGGTTTGCCAGAAAGGCCCTCCTAACGCAAATGGATCATCCTTGTAGGTTAAGGCCCTTTTGGCGTAAGGAAAAAGATGAGATACGCGTTAAGGCCCTTTTGAAATTCATAATTATCTTCATAAATAAATCGAATTTCAACAAGTCAAGCACATCATTTTAAAGAGAATGATGAAATCTACAAGGTGATATTAATAACTCAATAACCCCCAAAATCGGGTTAAGGCCCTTTTGGCATAAGGCCGACGATATTATCTGTCACTTATATTTAATGTATTCTTTGGGTAAAAATAAAGCTGTAACAAGTATAGTTATTGTTCTATTATCTGCGACCTTTATTCCATTTGTTTTAAATATTTATAGCAGCAGCTACTGCTTCATCTGTTTTTTTATAAATAATGTATATCTTAGCAAAGTACATGCAAATTTAAACTCTACAGCTCTCATCCCTATTTAGGGAAGGGATTTCACTGGCTTGATATTCTTTAGGATGGTGTATGGAAACTGTGAACATTACTGCCTTTCTTTATTTTAGAAGCTAACGTGTTGGCCTATCTTTCCAGTTGCATTATTTACATTCATTTATATTTAATGATATCAAATTGTTGGAAACCCAAAAATCATATTACCTCCATCACCCACAGCACAAACTGTAGATATTAATAGCAAATTGTAAATGCCAATATTTGAAAACATTTGTTGTGTGAGATTATATTTCCAGTTGCATTATTAACATTCATTACAATTGTAAAGCAGACAGACTTTATCAGTTACCCAAAACTATTATCTCCCCCTTTAATACACATTTACATATAGTAAAAGGTATAGGGTATACATTTCATCACGTTGTGCAAGGTAATCGATTATATTTAATGTCACTCAAAATCATTGTGCATTGTGAACAATTATCTATCCAATCATTTTATGAGCACTCACTCAGGCTTTTATTTGCAATAAACAAAATTATGAGAAACCCAAAACACATCATCCCCCTCGTACATCATAAGTGAACGGTGTATTGATTATCATATTCTAAATGGAAATTACCTATATCAAAACCAAGTAGCGCACTATGATGTCCTTCCTTGGGGGAAATAACTTTCAAAAGGGCAGAATAAATTAGAAATACGTCGTAAAAAGACTATACACCCTCTCCCCAAGCACAATAGAGTTGAATGCCTGCCATTTAATTTAGGTGATGAGTTTGTAGGCAAGAACAGGTAGATGGAAAAGGTCGATGGAAAAGGTTATTATGCTGTAGGTGGATCTATAGAATATTTCCTGCACCTGCTTATTGAACTCATATGAAATTATCAAATCGATATGAATTTTTGCATTCTAAACAGCTCGTAGGTGGACCTGTACAATATATTTCATGCACTTGCTTTTTAATCTCACAGGAATATTGGCTTGATGTAAATGTTTGCATTTGTAGCAGGTTAAAAAACCTCCTGGCTCCAAACAGACAAAATATATCTTCCATGAATAGTATACAAGAGCAATGATATCATGCATCAATCCATTACAAATTTTCTTTGTAAGCTTGCATCTTGCCATAAAAAGAAATAACTACATTGCTAAATGTCTGAATACTAAATAAAAGAAGTAGAAAATGATTGCATCGATTGGCACTAATCCATTATAGTAGAAACAATTTAGAAAAATGATCATATAATGCTTGATCAAGGATAAATTTATACCAGTGTATGTTATGAGCCATATCTTTATTCCTGTAATAGTTACTGCAAAACGCTTTTGGAAAGTGCTAGTTTATTGATCTTGTAATTCTAAATGTATAAGAAATGAGTATAAAATACATTTTGCTATTTTTCTGATCATTTTCATATTCATGTCAGGTGCTGTCAGGCATTGTAAAGCGCTTAGAGACATTTGTATTAAGCGCTATTTAAAAATTAAATATTATTATTATTAGGTGATACGTAACGAAGTCAACGTATCACCTTTTGATTTCGTCAAGATTTTCTTTTTTTTTTTTATTATTATTCTTCCTCGAATTTGTTCGCAGGATATCTCAAGACTCAATAAAGCCATTGTTATGAATCTTTCACTGATGATAGATCTTAGTCTAACTTAGAACTGCGTGACTTTTCAAAGACTCAAAGTCATCGTGACGTCATCCAGGCGCCATTTTGTAAAAATCAACTTATGATCATATCTTCATAACGGAAAGTAATTTTACATTCATATTTATCAAGATTAAGATCAATATCCGTCGGATCAATATGAGGTCAATAAATGCGCGCAAAAATGCGCGTACGCGTAGGCGCGCGCGTCAATGCGCGCGTAAAATTTTAAATTGCTCAAAATCGTCTTAAATTTTTTTTGCATACGTTTCAGGCCATTATAAGCATTTCATAAAAAATCACGCAAAACACGCATTTTTGCACGTTTTCGTTCGTCACGGCCGAACGAAAAATAATTTCTCCGCAAAAGCTTTTGACCGAATATTCCTCATATTTTTCCGGAAAATTTGATACCATGTTAAGCTCTTTATCACTATTAAAAACGGAATGAGCGTCCGTTCAAGATAACCGTCCGTACGCGCGATTTTTGTAATACATTGCATATATGGGCAAAAACATGCCTATGAAAAGTCCATTGGGATGAATAGGGATTGCCAATTTTTTTTTCATATTTAGATAGAGTATGAGTCGTAGGTAGGATTTCATATCTCATTTGGCCATTAAGTACATCTTAACGTCATCATAATGGCCTTGGAAGTCAAAAATACAAAATTGCATATTATGACGTCATTGTATTTATGAAAAATGTAGTGTATTTCTCTCAATATTCATCGATTCTCTTTGAAATGTCGATATGTTGTAGATAAGGCAATTCTCTACAAGATCACCTTTCACTAAGTTTCATTTTAATGAGGTCATCATAGTACAAAATTCAATTAAAGGCCACATGTCAGAATTTTCGTCATTTGCGTGTTATGTCTATGGAAGGTGAATTTCGTTCACATCATGAATCTACATGGCATTCATCTATGAGCACTATCTATCTTATGTGTGCTCTGTTTTCTCCCAAATTGGGCTATGTTATAGCTGAGACCATGGGCTATAAAAACGGTGCTTTTAGTTTTTTGATCAGATGATGAGATCATATCACAATTTTCAGTTAAATGTTGAAATGATGAATATGTCACGTATGTCCTATTTGTGAAACTTAAACGTTAGCAGTGTCCTCGTATTGAAATTATGTAAGGAAACCCTTTTACTTTCTAGACTTTACTCTCAGACACTATTGAGTGACTGACTGACATCTTTTTTTCTCTGGTAATAAAATACATAAAATGAGCGTTATAGAGAACATGAGCATTCGGCTACATTAATAACCCACTCTGTTCTCATTGTTCATTTCCTATTCAAGACTTGAATAATGACGAACTTCATTCAATATTTGGTAGTAATACTACATATACTTATACTGATATCAATGATTTAAACTATTTATCCGAAAAAGAATATGAGTTTCATTTCAGTAGGTTTCTGAACTGTAAATATTATATTGATGAGGATTTTACGACTGAATTCAGTAACATTAACTATCATTTTAGTATTTTACATTTTAATTCGCGTAGTTTAAACATACATTGTAATGCTTTATCCAATTTCATCTGTACTTATGTATAGAAACTTGGGTTAATGATAGTACGCCACTATTATTCAATGTGTCTGGTCATTCATTTATACATTTTAATCGCCAAGTAGAAAAGAGTAGAGGTGTTGGTCTATTGGTCGCTGACAATTTTGAATATGAAATACGCAATGATATATTTATATTATACCCATCATACAACTATGAATCACTGTTTATTGAAAGCAATTTGCCGAGACATAATAATATTATTGTAGGTGTCATATTTAGGAAACCCCAATCAAATATCAATGATTTCATCCCTGTCTTTGAAAATGTTTTACAAAAAACACATACTGAACATAAACAGGTTTATATAATGGGAGATTTTAACATTGATCCCGTGAAATTTACTGGCAATGCTGTATGTAATTTCTTGAGCGAAATACATTCAAATCTTTGTATTTCTTTAATTGACAAGCCTTCAAGAAAGACTGACGGATCAATATCCCTCTAATCCACATTCCTTATACAGTGACAGTATATATCCATCCGATATTTAAAGATTTTATTTTCAAGCAACTAGTGAATCTCACGTCGACAACTCAAAATGATCGCTAATGTATTCTCACATTTATTTTGACTTTTCATTTACGCCGGGACATCGTGACGTCATACACTATTCATTTTTAATTATTCAGGCATAAGCTCTTATTTATCAATTACATTTTCATTTCTATGAATAAGATAAAAATCGTCAAAATGCGTTCTTCATGATGTAAATTAGAGTCAAAGGTGTAACTGGTTACTGCACAGAGTCAATGGTCATATATTGTCTCAATCTATCTTCCCTAGATCCATAATGATAAAGGGATCGACACAATTTAAACTTGACATATGGATAGATCATTATGGGAGGAGCATTTTATAAAATAATATGATATCGTGTAATGCATTCTTTGTTATGTAAACCAATATCATACGTATCACCTAATTCGTCTAAGTGACGAATTAAAGTCTAGTTATTTATTATTATTGTGAAGAAAAAAAATGCTTGTACATGTATCTAACACTCTTTGCATAATAATCCCCTTGCTGGTAATAATTGAAACAATGACATTCTTATTGGTCAACCATATAACCCTCTTGAGGATCGGGATCAGAATTATATGTTAGGAAAACTCTTGGAAGTGGTTGTATGCCTCAATATTCATGATTTCTGTATAGTCATAACATCTATTTGTCATCTCATGTTCTTTCTTTCTCATATTATTTTCCTCCCTTGTGCTGTCATAATCATGATAATCATGACGCTAATTATGATGCTAATCATGATGATAATCATGATGCTACAAACCCATTGCCTGCCAACTACCTTTCCAAGTAAGTATAACAAGCCTCTAGGCTTTTTCCCATCTTGTATCTAATTTTGGTGATTATTGTGTGCCTGTGTTTCTCCCATGCATTGTGTACTTCATTGCATTGCATGTTATTCATATATATAATCCAGTTTAAAACTGCCTTGCTTGTTCCCTAAATAATCACTAATTTAGTCCAGCGCTATTTCTTAACTCGATCTCTCTTTTTTGAAAATTTTCTATTGCAGTATATATTTCCAAGTTTCATTCATTTGTCTTTATGGTATAAGATTGATGTTAGCACATTCAATTTGCACTTTATTTTATCATGTAACTATAGTGAATAATTAAATGATAAAATACTGATTAAATAAGAGTTGATGACTCGCAATGAAATATACAGCAGTTTGGTAGTTATGTGACGTATTCGCACATCATTCCAAATAGAAAGAGCAAATTGTATAATTAGTGTTGGCCTTTAACAATCCTAAAACACGACCCAATTATTGCAACCTCTGAATAGTAGAACATGTTTACAATGGGAAATCGTTCAGATGATGCTAAAAAGGAAGAGTACGTATTGGAGAGGAATATGATTTCCAACGTAACCAAATTGTCCAGAGAAGCATTTTATAAGTCTATGTCAGAATAAGTAAGGAATATTCTGATTGAAAGCTTGCAAAATGAGATTTTGATAAGTTTATTTTTTATTCAGAATAGCTACAATTAGAAGGCATACATATTTAGGTTCAATATTGTTTGATGTATAGTACAGGTTAGGATTCTCTCTCTCTCCCTCTCTCTCTCACTCTCCTCCTCTCTCTCTCTCTTTCCTTCCTCCTCTCTCTCTCTTTCGCTCTCTCTCTCTCTTTTTCTCTCTCTCTCTATCTCTCTTTCTAACCTTTCCTCTATTTTTAGTATTGGGAATTAAAGTTCCTATTATTTATAACATGTTAATGTTACCGTTTTAACCACATTTAGAGTTCACAAGCTCATTTACAAATATGGCAAAGACAAAATTTTGTGAAAAGTGAACTTTGCATCATGCAGCACTCTCTCTCTCTCTCTCTCTCTCTCTCTTCCAAAATATTATGATTATCCTCTTAAATCTCTGATCTGACTTGCTTCCGTAGATATAATGGCAAAATATACTTCATGTTGTGCACTTAATTATTATACACCATATAAATACACTCCCAACTTAAAATTGATTATATAAGTGCACTTGCTGTGAATATTCGCCTCGGCTAATGCCAATCAATTATGCAAATAGATTCAGGTTTGGTCATGCAACAGAAATTGATTATTTTCCCCACCGATAACGCTCTCCAAATTAGTTTCCCAACCTGGAATCCATTACTGGGATTATATTTGTATGCAATATGATGGATCCCTGGCTAGAGTGTGTTTCATGATGAATGTTATAGTACGTGAGACCGGATTGGTTGGTTTAGGGATGACCGAGGCTATGATAATCGGTGTTTAAAGGTTAGGCTAGCATACTAACCACTGCTTATTTTAGGTTCCATTATTTTATGGAAGATGTTTGTTACTGGGAAGCGAGTAACGTATCCTTTATGAAATATAAGATCCATTCAAAACTGAGTGCAAGAATCCTAAATCCAGTAATATTATCATGCGTGGAGTTTCAGTAATATAGTAAGACGAAACAAGCAGACAATCTATAGATTGCACTTATTTAGAAATTCGTATCGGCTGTGAGAAATTTTTGATGTGTCCTTTTTTTCTTTCAGTTTCATTGTTTTCAACATTTTAAAAATTATATCAATTAATTAATAATTGCTGTCTTACTTTTTAACCTGTGAGCATTTTTTTTCTTCAGCACCTAGTATTTTTGATACAGTTTCAATGTTTTCACCAGTTTTCCCCTCAGTCAAGTTGTAATTGCTGTGATTATTATTTATTTATGATATTTGTGATTTTGCACCTAGATGTGGTTCAACATTTTGCAGATTTAGCTTTCTTCCAAATCACACTTTCTTTTTCTTTTTCTTAGTTTGATGTGGTTTTTTTCTCCCTATCTATTTTACCATATGAATTCTTATATTTTGTTTTGTTGTTTACATTTGTATTTTATACATGTATATGAGTTTGTAAAAGTACATTTGAGTAGATTCAATTGTCATTGTTATCAAATTCAATAAAATATGGTGAATTTACATTACAAATTCGAGAAAAAATGTGGATATCACTAGAATATGTTATCTTTTTATTAAACACTAATAATATCAATGTAAAGCTACATGAAACAGAAAGACTTGTAGCTTTTGAGGAATAATTTTTGAGTTCTACCAACTTGATTTCAATTAACTAAAGAGCTCCCAGTTTCAAAATAATGTCTTTGAAAAATTGGCAGTTTATGTCAGCACTTTGCTATAGTCTTAATAATCCAGGAACGAAAGAAAATTGTGAAAATAGTGGCGAGGGTTTGAAATGGGGTGTCCCCACATTTGCTCTGAGATATATTTTGGTAAAAATACAAGATATAAGTGTTAGGATTTTTATTCACTTTTAAGTTTGGTTTAGGGTACGAACAAGAGTTAAAGTTAGAAATACAGTTAGAGTAGGAAATTGATCATAGAGCAATTGTTTGTCAGATAATATGTTTTATACTGAGAGCTGATTGCCATGGTGGAAATATAACAAGAAATGTATTTTTAGTGACAGAAGTTACATTTTTTTTACACTATTGTTTTGGAATTTGCCCTTTCAGGTACAGAACTCAAAATATATACAAGGTATACATTTGAGGATATTTTCGACCCTCAGTATCAGCCATCGTACTTCGATGCCGTGTGGCTGACAGGTGAGTACAAACCATAAGATTAAGGGTTCATTTTAACCCCTACAACATCATCAAGGTTAAAAACATGTACGTGTAACTGTACATCTCAAAAATTTCAATTTTTAATAACAAGTTTCAGTCATATCTTCTTTTGCGTAATGTGTATGGATATTAAATTATTCCTTGATAGTTGTAAATTCACACTTCATGAACCCATTTTCATTTTTATTTTCAAGAAGAAAAACAAATTTTTCATTATTTTCTTTTTTGTTCTTTTATATCCTGAGAACGTACATAATACAATTGTGGCATGTGAACTCTGTACAACACTGTAAGGGTTAAGAAAACTACTTTATTGGTCTTTAAAGCCCCTCTAAAGTGTTGGGAGCCACAAATTCGCCAAAAATTTGATTGCAAAATTTCACTTAAATTGTATGATAATGTAAAAGAAGATGTAATTTAAGACACCCTACTTCAAAGATCCCCCCCCCCAAAGTTCCCCCCCCCCCCCAAAGAAAGTTTGGAGACTAATCTTGATAAAAGAATACATAATTTGAGTTTTCTGCTGTAAGCACAAAAAAAAAAAAATTCCATCAATAATCGACTTAAAAAACATTTGTTTTGAAAATCCTTGCACAAATGTATCTAATAAGTGACATCCTCTTTCACATTTTGATACAATTTAAGTGAAATTTTCCCATCAAATTTTTAGGACCGCCCAACACTTTAGAGGGGCTTTAATTTCATTTTGTTTTGCACATAACCCTCAAAGTATGCATTACCCTTAATTTGATGGGCTGGACTCATTGATGTTATATATGAGCTGCCGACGGCCTCTGCTAGCTAGGTGGCATATATTACTCCGTCAATCGATGAATAATAGATCATGTTGTTCATATTTCATAGAATTTGTGACGGAGCTGTATTTCATCTCTCTCCTCTCTCTTGTTTTGTTTTGTTTCCTTTTTTAGAGGATGAATATGTCCTGCGGAATTCCACCAACAATATTGTGGCTGTTGATATCGCTGCCAATGAATCGACGCTGCTCATTAGCAATAGGACAATGGTAAGGTTCAAAACCTAGAGTTTGAAATTGGAACAAGGAGTTGCCTTGAGCAGAGCACGAAAGGTGCTGTTCGTAAAACCAATTTGTCGCTACGCAACCAATGACCTAATTTGATTATCTTTCTCTCAATAATATATGCTAATATAATGCCGTAGGCTAAACCTGAAGTAAATTGGTCGTTGTGTAGGTGTAATTAGTTTTGGACGTGCCTTTTTTCTTCTTATTATTTTTTCCTTTTTTTGTTTAATACTTGAAAGGAATTCTTAAATTTCTTCCTCTCCTGATGAAATGAAAAATATTAACTAAAGCATCTGCACGCTGTATGCTGTTAGATATAAGCAATGCAGAGAATATGAATATGACCTATATTTGTTGATCTATATAATAAGTACAATTATGTACGGACATTTGTTTACATCATTAACTTAACACATAAATTATCACATGATATAAATGAATTAGAACAAGCTATGACCATTTTTGTTCCAAGAATAACCAAATCATCTCGAGCCTTTCATAAATGAGTAAAAGCTGGGTCAGTTGATCGATATGTTGAACGTGGTTCCACTTAATTATCCAATAGGTTAGAGTTGGTACATACACATATATTTTCTTGCTCTCATCTGGTCAAGTGTTGGGGCGGGGCTACGTACACTCTAGATCTAACTCTTTCCTGTAAGATTTAGATATACATCATAAGATAGTTATCTGACACATATTCTGGTGACATTTACTTATATAGGGCTTTATTTTTACTAAGATATATAGAGTTTTTTTAGGGTTTTTTTGTTTTTATGTTAGGCTTAAGATGAAGGGCTAGGTGCGTGTTTCATCCAGAGTTGAAGCTAGGAATTTATTAGGTGTAAGGAATCGACTGTGGAACAGTTGTCTTACATAACAAAAATAGGATATTTACCAGGTCACAGGTTCATTGTTCTCTTACTTGTTTTTTGTTTTGCAGGATGATGAAGCGATCGTAAGAGTATGGGTACATCCAAACAAAGAATATATCCTGCTCTCGTCAGATGAGAAACCGATCTTCCGTTCTAGCTTTGAAGCAGTCTACAAGATCTATGATGTCGCAAAGAAGTAAGTGGATAATCTTCTTTTACTTGTATCTGTTATCCTTATATGATTTATAATTGTATGGCCTTATTCGCCCAGGAGCCATTTGTGGCAATAAGATAAAATATATTTAAAAGCAAAAATTCAAGTATTTTAGACTTTTCATAAATTCAACATGAAACCTCCTTAATAATTGAAAATATGAATGATTTGAATCAACATTTTATGCCTCTTAAAATAACTTTTACAAAATATGTTCAAAGATGATAACAGCTTTCCATAATTCTTAAGTCCAACTTAGAGATAGGTTCAACTTAGGATCTTTGTGAAACACCCCCCAGTACGAATACTGCACTTTCTGAGGGCCGGCCTGCGATGAGTATTACTCCAGCATTGTGTACTACTTATTTAATACACCTGCGTCAAGAAAGACAAATGTTAATATACCGGTATCTAAATTACCTCGTTCAAGGATGAATTCACAGGACAAAGATCGAATAAAAAAAAATTGTATTAGAGTTAAGAGCCTTCACCAGTCCTTGGCTTGTCATTAAGCAAGGCATTTTTCTACAATACTTCTCTCGACCCAGGTGATTAAATGGCTACCCGGCAGGATACAAAAGTCATGATTGTAGTTTACTCAAACCTACTTTAGTGACCACTTGTCTACAAAGACCACCTTTTTTTTTTGGTTTCCCTTGAAAATGGTTTCTCATTGAAACATGCACTAAAGGAACCTGTCTACAAAGACCACTTTTTTTCTTTCCTTGGGCAGTCGCTATAGACAGGTTGACGGTATATATTGGTAAAGCACTTAGAGACGTCATATATTTATTAAGCATTATATAAACCCAGGATATTGATATGATTCCTTGTTTCATTTTTAACTTTCTCATCCAGATCTGTGATCAAGACATTACTTCCACCGAATGTGACTGACGGAGCAGTAGTCCCTCTCAGATATGCAGCTTGGGTTCCTAATAGTGCTGGACTGGTAAGAATTTTTTTTTGAAGCTGACAAGAATATTGATCAAATCGTAGGACTTTTTTCTTGTTTATTTGGCATCTCCTGTGCATATATATTTTCACTTGAATTTTGATTTAATCACCACATTTATTGATTTATTTTAAGTTGATCTTTGTATAGTTTTAACGTTCTTTAGATTCAACCTTTTCTACTACAACCTAACTTCATAACATTTATTTGTACATACTGTGTTTAACCCTTCACTAGCTTCTGTCAACCAAAGCAACGACCAGGCGGTGCATTGCCACAGTCGATGTTTTTTGTCAACCATACTGTGTGCATGTACATGTAGATTCTGATATACCCCAAACAATGTGGCGATCCAGAGTAACGATCCTTGACAAAGAAATATTTAAATGAGGAATGTCATCAAATATTTGGTGCTCAGAAGACCGTAAACATAGACAAAAGATGTTTTTAATTTTTGTTTGATTCCATTGTTTTTAAAGGTATTTGTTTACAAGAACAACCTGTACTACCAGAATGCAGTCAACAACGATCCAGTTGCCGTTACCACCGATGGAGTGGAAGAGGAAATATTTAACGGTGTGCCAGATTGGGTATATGAAGGTAAGCTCCCCTGTATGACATAATGGAATATCCCTTTGATATATATAGATAATGGGAAAGTAGGATCGCTCCATTATTATCAAGGGATGCATTTTAATGTTACTACTGATGGAACAGAAAAAGAAATGTTTAGAAATAATGGTGTGCTATGTTAAGCTCCCCTGTATGACAATAATGGAAATTTCATGTGCTACACAGGTAATATCAATATCAAGATTGCTTCATTGTTATTTAGGGGTGCACTTTGCTGTTAGCTAGAGAGCAATAGAAACAGTGCTTCAGTTATATTTCCACTGTGTCAAACAGTAAAAGATTTTCAGATGTATTTTACATTATTCAAGTACCGGTAGTACTCTGCATAACAAGAGTAATCAAATAATAATTTGATTTGAAGATCAGTCAATTTTTTATGAATCCTGAAATAACTGTTTAAAATCATTGTTCAATGCAGTGGCTTTTATTAATTTAATATCATATTTTGATGATTCATTGATATTAATCTTTTCCTTTTGCTATTAAAGTCTGCCTAAAAAATTATTATCATTTGGAGGTTGCTTGGAGATGGATGGTGAATTTGTTCTCTTTTCTCATCTCATCCTCTTTTTCTCTCCATCTGTCTCTCTTTCTTTGTGGCATTGTCAGAGGAGATCCTGGGTGTTGATAGCGCCATGTACTGGAACAAAGATGGATCAAGATTAGTCTTTGGTCAGTTCAACGATTCACTGGTCCCTAAATCATGGTATCCCTGCTATGAGAACAAGGTTTACAGTGAGGTGAGATATTACATTTATTGTGTGGTTGTTTTATAGTTTTTATTATTGTGGTTCACTTTAGAAGTGTTGGTAGTTTAAATAGGAACAGCAGTAGAAGTGTAGTCGGGATCATAAATAGATATTGTAGGTTGTAAATTGCAGTCTGTGGACAAGGGTTACATTTCTTTGTAAATGAACTAGAATATTGATACCCGTGTATATTAAATGTCAATGAATTTATGACAAATATGTTATTATGCTGACAAATGGTGTCAGCTGAATTTAATACACTGACTTGCTTGAGATCACTACAAAGTTCATATTTGATAGCTAGCACTAACCATAGCATATGGAGTGAGGTAGTTGTGACACTCACATATATAATGTGTATGCGAGTACAGTCATAGATTTATTCATCGAGCTCCAAACAGTTCCCTCCCATGTACAATCTCTATGGAAGGGAACTAGTTGGAGCCCCCTGAAATGACTAACTAATCTAAAGCAACTTCCACTGTCGCAACTTTTTCTTCTTCTAAATCAACTAGATGTACATGCAATTATATCACTGACATGGCACTACCCATTGCTAATTTTTAAGTGTGTTGTCTCTTTTCTTGTCTTCAGCTTAAATTCATCAACTACCCCAAGCCTGGCTTCCCCAATCCTACCATCAAGCTGTATGTCATGTCAGTTGAGGATGTTCCAAACCTGGTCCGACTCCAGCCTCCTCAACAGTTCCAGGACCAGTAAGTACAAGAACCAGACCTATATCTACATGTGCGTGTACATGTAGATAGGTCTGCTTGTAGTTATATGTTATTCATGTACATTTAATTAAGAAGCGTAATAAATGTGAATAGATTTGGCAGATTTATTAATAGGATTTGTTGACAAACATTGACTCATATAATTGAAATATACTTTCTCGATCAAGGCCAAAAATGAGTTTTCTATTCCATTTTTCATGATTTTAGCTATCTCTAATCTTCATTAAGAGAATTATTGTCGGTCATAATTACAGACTGGAGAGTAGATCACTTATTATCCTAACTCAGGAGAGGACAAAACTCACAGTTTTTATTACAAATTTGCATGTCATTTCTATCAATCTGTCTACTAAGAGTCAAGTGCATGAACTCATCTACAACAGACAAACAATTACTGTATAATAATAATAATAATAATAATAATGATAGTGGGTTCTTGCATAGCGCTCATGTCTGTCAGACTTGACACTCCTGGCGCTCCCGTTAATAAAAGTTCCTGTATGAGTGATTTCACTTGGAATATAAATGTATGATAGTGATTTAAAATATTGAATGAAAACAGGTATATTACTGTTATCGTTATCGCATTTTATTTTTTCTAGGGAATACTACTACAGAAGTGTGGTGTGGAAGGATAGCTACCAAGTAGCCGTCACGTGGTGGAACAGACCGCAGAATGTTTCCGTGACAACCATCTGCCAGGTGGACACTGGGATATGTGACCTCAACTACGAGCAGGAAACGCCCAATGGCTGGATAGTACAGGTCAGAGATCAAAGTTGATATTACATGTATATACAAATGATGTATGCGAATGAGGTCATTATATGATCTATCAGCATTCGAATTGAGGCTGTATGCATCTATCGTATGAAGTCGCCAGACTGAGTATGATAGGTGCATAAACAGCCTGAAAAAGAGTGGATAGATCCTGTAATGAATGACTAAAACATGTATTATTTGTTTTAAAGAAACTCCTTGGTCCTTCTTATTTGATTTTATAAAGATTCTATTATTATAACTGGCAAATAAACCCCTAGTTTTTAAATAAGGCTTGGTTTAGAGGGCACACCGAGTTAAACCTACATGTAATTACCTCTACTAATTATGTGATATATGCATTATACAAGAACTGAATATTACAGTAGCAACACCGACATGGCAATATCGGACACACATGAAGGGAGATGTAGAAATTATCTTTTGTTCATACATGTATGTTTATATTGTACGTACAGAACGAAATAATCACTTAGCAGAATGTGTCACAAAATAAACATTGGAAAGCTAGCAAACATGGAACAATTAAGTGTGAACTTGAAATCTTATTGTTTGATTCTTTTCTCTCCAACAGAGAGGAGATATTATTTTTGCGGAAGATGGTCTTTCATATTTCACTATCCTACCAGAGAAGGAGGGGCCTAAAGGAAGCTTCTATCACATAGCTCGAGTTACTGCAGAGGTAGGTATTAAGGGTCAAAGTTCAAAGTTCAAGGGTCATTTATTTTATCATGTCATTCTTCTCTCTGCCAAGATCGATATTCAATCAATTCAATTAAATCAGATCAAGCCTAGATTAGGCCATCGTTCACATTAAACTATAGTGGTCCCTGCATTAAAGGTAAAGACCAGTATTGGAAATGCCCCAATTTCAAAAAATGAAATGGAAGCTCTCATTACCAATCATGTGAAAGAATATGTTTTTGACTAATACATGATGATAACAAATTGCCGGGAAACCGCCTACTAATTCATATATTTGGTAAATTTGTTTCTCTCATGGTCTGTGAGAGATATAGGGTAGTCCCATATACATCTTTCTGTGTATAGTGCTTGTAACTTTACGAAGAATGGGCCAAATTTCTTATCATTTTGATGATTCCAGAACCTTGCAGATGCTAGATGCTAGATGATCAACCTTTTCTGATCGATTCCACAATGTTTCTTTCACAATGCAATCGCATGACCATAACTGGTCTTTACCTTTAATCATTTGCGAATGACATAATCCAATATTCAGTGGGTAGATTGTACCTTTTAGTAGTTGGGAGGGGGGTAGGGCAAGGGGAATAATATACATGAACTTGGGTACAATCTTTATTTACGCTTGTGTCTAGCGTTCAGACAGGGGTCTATCAAGTACAAGCTATGCTTTTTTTAATTGAATTCTCCACTTTGGGTTTCCTTCACTATACTTAATTTACTTACGGTACATACTTAAAAAGTATTTTTTTCAAAATACACCACACTTCATGATCAAATTTAAAGACTTTGAAGACCCTCTCTTTTCTTTTTCACTTTTAACAATTGTGTCATTTTGTTTGAGACTTGTCTTGCGAGCACTGTATATTTTTTAGTTTGAATGGATGACTGATGAATTTCATTTCATTTTCATTTCTTTTTTTACAGAGTGGCCAGCAGGGTCTGGTGACCTTCTTGACGCGAGGGATCTGGGAGGTAACAGAGATCGTAGGCTTCAATCACGAGAGGAGTCTACTCTTCTACCTGAGTACCGAGCATGGAGCTATCAACAGAACACTGTACAGGTGAGACTCTTCAATGTAATGAAGATAGAATAGAATAGAATAGTATTGGTATTTATTCAAAGAATTCCACAAAAGGTTGAATCTAATAATAATATTATAATATGAAGGGGAGAAAGAGAGAGAGAGTGAGAGAGAAAGAGAGAGAGAGAGAGAGGAGAGAGAGAGAGGAGAGAGAGAGAGAGAGAGAGGGGGACTAGACTGAAAGGAGAGAATGAGAAGTAAGGATATTGATGCAGAAGTATGGCAATCTAGAGGAAGAGATTATAATTACATAATAAATGAGAAGATCGATTTGATTAACTAAATAATCATCTGTTAGTACATTCTAAAATTACTGTAAAATGTGAATAATTGTAGTAAGCGGAGGTAAAGAGTAGGGAAATTGAGGAGAATTGAGTGAAGGGGACAAAAGGAGTAACAGCTGTTAGGGAAACAGATGAAGAAAGATCGATAGAGAGAGAGAGAGAGGGGGGGGGGAGGGAGAGGAAGAAGAAGAAGATGAATTAAAAAAAATACATGATAATAAGATACATAAATACACTGATATTATATTGTGAGAGCAAATATGGGGAATATAATTTACGGTAAATTGTAAAATATGGGACTAGCTATTATGGATGACCACAGGGATTAAACTCCGTTTATCTATCTCCCTCTATAGTCTAAACTTTGAGACGAAGGAGAAGACTTGCATCACATGTGATATGGTGGAAGGCTGCTCGTACTACAGCGCAAACTTCAACGATAAGTCCACGCGATACATCCTCCAGTGTCACGGCCCCGACGTACCTCAGACCTTCCTCAATTCCATCGACTCGGTCAACTATACAGTCTTAGTAGATAATTCCGGTGTTAAGGAAGCACTGGCTGAGAAGGTGAGTTTGTGGGCATGTTAGATTCGATTTGAAAGAAGACAGAAGGTACTTGTCTACACCTCCTTAGAAATAGTAAATGTTTGTAGGTTATTTGATTGTCATTTTAAAAAGGATCCTATACAATCTATGATTTCTTTCGCAAAACACAAACATCATGATACATGTGTATACATCTTTTAAAACAAAGATTAAATGACGAGATAATTACCTGTTTGTCCATTTATTTTGTAACTTATTCTTTGGAGTAGTTGAGAAGATAGGACTGTGTAAAACAAAATCTTAACATTGCTTCATTGAGGACATTTCCATTTCTGGGATCTCATTAGTACATTGTATTAGACCAAGTTTAGCTCATTTCACTAATTCTGTACGTAACAACTGAGTTTGTATTCAGCATTTGTTTGATTTCAGTTGTTTGATTTTGGCTTCCTCTTTGTTCTAGCATTTAATGACTCAGTCACACTTTTGCATGTTTTGCTTGCGTATTGCTGCATACTTATTTATGGCAATCCGTTTTAACATTTATTCCTTCTATCTTGATATCAAGCAATGAATTCTTGAAAAAAGATTTTCTGTTGTAAAGCAATGGTAATTCTTGATATCAAGAATTCCATATTTGATATCAAGAAATAGGAATAAATCTTGAAACAGCTAGGCATACATACGCAGCAATACGCGAGCCAAATACGCAAAGGTCTGACTGAGGCATTAGACAGAGTGCAAAAACAAACAAATCAAAATATCTATTAAACCATCCCGTCTAAAAGATATATCACTGTCTTACAAGACATATTTTCAAATAGCATTCTTGGTGTTCTGCAAGGCCAACCACATTTGTATAATTTTATAATTATTCTGTTTGATGTAGGATTACGTGGTAAAGACATTCCACACTGTGAAGTCCGCGGATGGTAATTATGACATCCAGATTGAGCTTCTCATACCCCGGGCGCTTGATATCGCACGCAGGCATCCATTACTGGTCGACGTCTATGGAGGACCTGGCTCTCAACAGGTAGGATTATAATGCCATTGTGTTTGCTGCCCTCTTGAGGCATAACTATGTTTAACCATTGATGGTCGGCATGGTTACCCATTCATTGCCGCAGCCGCAGCTTATGCAAGAGTCATACCTCAAAACATGGTCGGGTAACCATACAGCTATTGTGGTTGAAGGGTTGAAATGATGTCAGCGGTGGGATATGAAAACAAGAGTTGAATAAGAGAAAGATCTGAAACCGATAGGCCACCAGGGGGTGTTTCACAAAGATTCTAAGTCGAACTTAACTCTAAGTTGAACTTAAATATCATGGAGAGCCATTTGTAGCCTTGTAATGATATACATTCAAAATCATCATTCAAGAATTTTAGACTTTTCATAAATTCCACATCAAGAACACGAAATCTCCCACGATAATAGAAAATATGAATGATGTGAATTAACATTTTATGAATTTTAAATAACTTTTACAAAATATTTTCAAAGATGCGAACGGCTTTCCCCGTAATTGTTAAGTCCAACTTAGAGATAAGTTCAACTTAGGATCTTTGTGAAACATCTCCCAGGAATCTTTGGAGCCATTTTTTGCAGTGAGCCTACTTTGAAGAAAAATAAATCATTCACATTTTTTGAATTTTCGCCTGTATAAGTCACACAGGATATTAGGTTTAACGTTGTATCCCCCTCCCCCTCTCTTTATTAATGTCTTCTTCATAATCATTTGCATAAATTGAATAAGCCATCTATGTCAATAAAGAAAGCCATTTTAAACGTATACTAAAGAGTTTCTCTAAATTTCAAGGATGTAAGCCTGTCTTGCAATTTTTCTGCACGCTTTGTTTCTTAATAGCTCTATAAAGATTCTTAAATTTTAGATTTGACCGTTATTAGCATTTTTGTGACCATGCAGACCTCACCTTCTACATGCAAATGGAGTTTAATTGAAACCTGGGCAAACGGATGAATCCTCTAGATCCCATTTCACAAAGCCTTTTTTCAATGACAACTGACAAAAATCAGTAACAAATCTGTTGACAACCAATCAGAAGCAAGGATTTCACTAGCTTATAACAGAAACTGTCATTTGTCACCGTTGACAAGTTTTGTGAAATGACCCCCTGGTGTCTTCTCTCTTCTGATGATATGTAAATTTTCAGCAAAAGTTGATCTAAAACATTCGTGATTACTTTCCTTCTTTTCTGCAGGTGGACACCAAATACCACCAGGGGTGGTACTCATATCTGAGCAGCAAGCATCATGTGATCATCGCTCGTATCGACGGGCGTGGATCGGGATACAAGGGTCAGAAAATGCTTTATGAGATCAACAAGAGATTGGGAACGGTGGAGATTGAAGATCAAATCACAGCAACAGAGTAAGTCGGCTTTATTAATTCAGAATGATAGTTGACTGTGGATCACAAGGTCTGTGGTTCATGTCCCGCCTCGGCACTAACGTCCTTAGGCAAGACATTGATCTACATATGCCACTCTCCACCCAGGTGTTAAATGGATACCCATTAGGATGCAAAAGTTAATGTGGTTAGATGAGCAAGTGTGCACTTGTAAAAATGATGCTTGGCTGGAATGTTCCCCAGGGAGTGAAGAATGTGCATACATTGTATGTGTGTTAGCCTGAATCCGATGACCGGGGTAATAATATATATCTGTTAAGCAGTCTGGGTAGGTGCTAGGGTCATGAAAAGCGCTATATAAGAACAAACTATTATTATTATTATATGTTTAATGGTGAGGAAAGAATCCCTTTATATATAAATGAAAAACAGCAACACATATCAAGGATGTGTTCTCTTTTTGATCAAGTGTTTGTAAACCCACAATATGCCATTTAAATGTCAGAACTATTGATTTCAAGAAGTCATTCACTATCAGGATTTTTTCATAATTCCTTTTCAATTTTCAAAATATTGTGGTGTAATATGATGTCAGGTTTCAATGAATATGCATATTGTTCATGCCAAATATTGCAAAGTGAATAACTTCATGTAAATTTGTGTTTTGTGTTTTATTTCATCCAGATATTTATTGGATAATTTCCGCTACTTAGACTGGAACAAGACAGCAATTTGGGGATGGGTGAGTACGAACTCTATTCAACTTTTGTAAATGAACTAGTTTTCATCCGATAGGAGTCATTTTCTAGGAAATGTATGATTCATATTAAAGCGAAGTTACTCTTCACACAATCTCTTTCAAGGCAGCATACAGCTAGAAACTGAAAAATCAATCAGTTGGACAAGTCCGCAGAAAGGAATGAAAAGGTGCCGACTAGATTTGAAGGTTGGCAGAAGCTTTATTTACAAGTTATGATCACCCTAGGGCTAACCAATGAAGTTTTTCTATATCAAATACATCTCATGTTTCATCTTTACATTAATAATATGATAGAGAATACCATATTTATTGAGAATGTGAAATGATACAAATCGGTAATCTACGATACTTGAGGCATATATATGTAAAGATTAATCATATTTCTTGGTTCCATAATCGGCATTCTTTTCTGTTTACTTTTTTATTCACAGTCTTACGGAGGTTTTGCTGCCACATTAGCTGCTACACATGGTATATACAATTGTACAATGGCTGTGGCCCCTGTCACTGACTGGAGGTTTTATGGTAAGTATATTATTTATCATTTTATGGTCTGTTATTAATTCATGTGAATAAAATTACAGAAACAATGTGATATTGATAATGAAATGATTATTTGAGATGCGGGTGGGCTCAGCAGTACATTTATCTCTTTATATTTACCTTCAAATCGACTCTGATGGACTCAGTTAAAAACAAATGAGTTTTTGATTTTTGATTTTTGATGGTGATTTAATGAAAAGGGTGGTCCCCAGACCATCATATCTGATATGCGTGTCTGTGAACACAGCAGAACACACACACATATGTATAAGAACTTTTTAAAGACATACAACTTTTATAGATATGTACATGAAACATGCAAATAACTATTTTTCAAAAACCTCTTGTATGTTTTTTTAAATTACATGGATGTTTCTAAACTTTAATTTTTTTTAAACTTTCTAAACTTCATAGTTAAAGAATCTAAATTTCCAGTTTATGTTTATGTACCTATTTCTTTATTCAATTCTTTGTTCCACAGATTCTGTATACACGGAGAGGTATATGGGGTTACCAAAAGCAACAGATAACTTGCAAGCGTACAAGGTAAGATGCTCTGTATGCTCTCTAAAAACAGATCAACCTCTTCTCCCAGTTGCTTTATTATTCCTTTTACTTTAATTGTTATCCTCCGTCAAGTAACGCCTGGCTGGGATGCTCCCCAGGGAGTGGAAATTGTGCACACAGTGTGTGCGGGCAAGCAGTGAATCCAATGACCAGGGTAATAGTATATCTGTAAGGCTCTTTAATAGAGACATTTGTATTAAGCGCAAGCGGAATATTATTATTATTATCATGAATATAAAATACATGTACACCTTGATTTGTCTCATGTTGTCCCTCATTTTTTCTACAAATTATATGGTTTCCTAGGCGAAGAATGTAAACAATGATGTATATTTGATGAAAATTGTGAATAATGTGAAGTCCCTTCACAATGGTACCGACAAAGTTTTGACTGTCTGTGTTGTTCTTTGTATTTACTTATTGTTGCAGAATTCCAACATATCTGCTGTTGCATCAGGGCTTCACAAGACAAAATACCTCCTCGTACATGGATTAGCAGATGGTAAGATATGGCATATCATTTAACGAATTTGTTTTCACTGGCTGCCTGCCATAGCAACAAACAACAAACTCCGTTTCGTAGACGATCAGCCGTGCATGAAGTCTTCCGTCTTCTTTGTTGTTAGGGCAGACAGCCAGTGAACGGATTTGTTTAATAAAATTATGGAAATGCAAGCAGAACTTTTTTATTCCTGGATCATTTTTCCTGATTGGGGTGTCGTATGAGAGGGCAGAACATGAACTTTCTAGAAATGTGATTTTCTATTTGAAATTCAGATACCGTTCCCCAAATGACTTGTTGGTACCCTTTTCTTCAAATTGTTTTAATCCCTAATGCGTGAAATATGCATCATATGAGTTGCATCAAATAAAAGAGGAGTATCTAAGCTTTACAAATATATGACATTTATTAATTATAAGTGTGATTAACTTATACCGGTAATAAAACATAGAAAATTCTTGGTTTCATTTTTTCTGGGACTCACTGTTTAACTTTAAAACTATACTATGTTATGTTGGTTACGTTTTGTCAGGCTTTAATTTTTTAAAGCCCTTCTCATGATATCATTATAGTCTACATGTACACCGTTAAAGATTTTATTATTGTTCACTTCTGTCCGTGTTTTAGATAACGTCCATTTCCAAAATTCAGCCAATTTGGTGAAAGCTTTAGTACAGGAGGGCGTATCACATCAAGTACAGGTATATATGATATGATATATATGATTTTTTTTAAAGATTTGTTTCACAGATTTTGCTTACTTTCATAATTAATACTCTCAAATTTTGATCACACTCACATGTATGTATTACATATTAGCTATACATAATGGAGATTCATGTAGAACATGTACATGTATTTACTTGTTGAAACAGTGACGATTCTCATCATGTATGTGGGTAATTGATTAATAGGTAATGACTTTGTGAGGATTCTCCTCAAGTGTAAATTTACCCATTCAAAAGGGTGGAGGCATCCCAATTTTGTGTTGGTGTTGTTCTATACCCAAAGCTTTCATTGCTTATTAGTCTTGTACAAATTCTAATACGTATGCCATGAAATTTCAGTTGTAGATCTTACATTTATTTATTTTTTAAGTCACAACTCCAAAATAACCTTCGAGGGGAGGCAGGGGGATGCAGATGAAAATTTAAAATACTACAGCTCCACTATAGGCAATAAAATGAAACAAAATTATTAAATAAAATATCTTCTTGATTCTACCTCATGATATGCTGATATCGTGTTTTTAATTTTGTATGCTATTGCTTCATCTGTAAACTTCTGTTTGATTAGACATGAACATGTACAGAACACATGTATTTCCAATCTTTGAATGCATGACGGTACTAATACTCGATGTCTTCTTCTTCGTTACAGTATTATACAGACCAGAACCACGCCTTAGCAGACCCCATGGTGCAACAAGATCTCTACCACATACTCACAGACTTCTTAGTCCACTCGTTTGGTCTGAACTGCTGACCTTGGACCTTTGACCCCTCACCCGTAGAACAGTGACCTTTCCCCTCTGACCCTTCACCTACAGTACAGTGACCTTCATCTCCAGATGTGTCATTTGTCAGTACCCTCCCACCCTCCCTCCCTCCCTTTCCCTAGACCATTTTATATAAAATGACAAAAACTTTTTTTCTACCCCCCCCTTTTTTTTTTTATAGAAACACTCCAAAATTGAGATTTCCACAATTCCACAATCATAATCCTTAAGGCCATGACTAGTAGCTACCATAAGCTTTATTACTGATATGTTTGCTATGATTCTTTTTTCTTTTTGTTTGCAATCTAGTTTACGATGCAATATTAGCTTCTTCATATTAAATAAAATTGTGCCTAAGAACTTGCAGTCAAATTTGGAGTAGTTATAACTTGGCCGATGTCAAGACCTGTTCAGTTCATGTCTTGCCTATCTAGGATATTTCAGTTTATTTTGCAGTTTTTTTTTTTCAAGGTCAGTTTTAATTACAAATTATGAGCTTGCTCTACTTTTTAAGTAATTTAATTTATAAAAAATTGATTTGCAACAAAGTTGATTCTATGAAATGATGTGGTCAAGCTTCCATTACTATTTTAAAGGGATTGTTACAATGACTTTCAATGAATGAAAGTATCCCATGTTTGGTTTTATAATTTCATTATTCACGGAATCTGGATGCAATGTTACAAACAACACTGTTACTGTAAAATGAAAGAAGACATTGATAGTGAATTGAATTTGTTGGAGAATATGTGAGGGGAATGTTTTAATACCGGTAATCAATATAGTTTGTATAAGTCAGCTTGTGCCACAAATAATTGCCCGCATGATTCAAAATTCTGTTTAATTACAATATTGAACCACATATTTACAAACAATTTTTTTTTCTTTCTATGAATCTCATTTTTGAGGAATAATTTACCTCTAAATTGGCAATGATTTTTTTGGTATTCCTTTTCCCCCTTGTAATCATGATTTTGTTTTGATTCAGATTTGCTTTCTTTCAAGATTTTGTACATAATCATAAAAACCAAATATGTTATATACGCAGTGTTTTTTATCGAGAGAAAACGTTCAAAAAGTCAGCCTTATAGTCATGTACGTGACTTGTTTATACGATGCAAAGTTATATGAAAATGGAATAAATGTTACGTGATTGTTTGATATTTTGTGATATGCAAAAGATTGAGTGAATTAATGTAGAATCAAGTCAATATTGCTGTGTCACTCCATTCTCGTGCTTCTGCTGTAAAGCTAGAATGGTTCAAATTGTTTTTGTCTTTTCGAAGCTTCTGTTACATTGCAGTAGTACATACATGTTACATGTATGTTATATAGTCAAACTGTTCCCTTGTGTTTCTCAATTTTCTTCTATTAACAAATCAATAATGTTAGAACATATGATTTGTCTTTAATCTGTTGGAAACTAAGCTGGAGTCTAAGGGAAATTTGTGGTAAAGTCAAACCTGTATAGAAAGACCACCCAAGTGAGACACAAAAAGCAATCTTTAGAGGCAGGTGGTCTTTATAGACAGGTTAACTTTACTTTAACACATCGTTTCAATGAGAAAAATTGCTCCAAGGGAAACAGAAATGTGGTCTTTAATATAGAATGATGGTCTTTTTATACAGGTGGTTGCTATTAATAGCAGGTTTGACTTTATATCAGAATTTAATATCGAATGGGTAAACAAATGTATGATGATTTTGAGTAATTTACAATTAATATGTGCTGTGTTTTATCTTTGTTTTATTGCTGTTTCTTAATTTATATCAGAACACTCAAGTGTATGCAATTATCAAAATCATATTCATGATTATTATATCTGATAAAATGTTGATAACATTCCATATCTACCAGCGCAGTTGGGTTTACCCACTTAGTACGAAACCCAATAACTTTGGCTCGAGCGTATATGGAAAATATCTGTTATAGTCAGATCATATCATTAAAAAAACGAGTTTATCTTTTTTATGAGCTTGCATTAAAGTGAATGAATAACTTTCACACATTGGCTGAAATGTATGTGATGTTATATCTTTTTCCTACGATGCATATTTTTTCTTCAGATTTTGTAAATGTTTGAGAAATGAAGAAAACAGTAATCAGGTTTAAATTCTCTGTACGAAGAAATATTTCATGTCGTTTGATATCTTTGTTTGTTAAGTTTTTTTTCTAGCTACAGCAGAATTGAATAACTAAATTTCATGTTCCATTGTAGCCCTTGTTACATGTACATGGCATTTCAATTAAATTTCAAAATGAATTTGAATTTTTTTTGGGAAACAAATTATGAAAATGTCTTTCTCTTTGAAAGTATTCTTACATGAAGCGCAAACCTCACTAAGCTTATTTTCTCATCTAATTTCTAAATTTGGTAACCTTCGATTTCCAAATTGATATCGGGTCATGCAAAAATAAAATCATAGTGAATAAAAGTACAATCTTAGATCTCAACTATATTACAAATCCTTTATTTTCTTCTTGTAGAGAGAGATACTTGTCAATGTTCCATCAGGAACTAAACAAGAAAGGTTTGGACGAAACCTGGAAGTTGTAGAATTACAAAACATGAAATATTTCTCCATGAATTCTGATTTTAAAACTTCATTTTCACAGGGTGCAACGCTGTGTATATTTAAGAAATTATAAAATGTGGCTGCAAGTTTGTGTACGTACATCGATGTTCAGTACCTACGTGTATCATGGGATGATTTTTGTTTTAAAGCCACCATAATGTACTTCCAGAGAGAGAATTTATACATACTGAAGTTTGTGTTTGTTTGTTTTTTGTCACATAATATCTGTACATATATTGCACAATAAAAGTTATATGTACAGGAGTTGTTATACAATCAATCTGTGTTGGGTTCATTTTTTATTGTGTCTGATTTCTTTCTCTCTCTCTCTCTCTCTCTCATAATGAGCCAGTTCATACCTTTTGAGCACATACAAAACACAGACACAGAATTGGTCTAGATGAACGCATGAAAACGACAACTTCATTTGAGAATTGTACTTTTTCAAATGTTTTGTTTTTGTAACATCAATATCTGACCTTTTGGTACAAATGATCAAGTGCATTTTGGATCAAAAGTATCAAATGTTCTCCATAAAAATCAGATAGTTACTACATAATCATAAACCAAAAGGAGGTGTTGGGGGGGGGGGGTGTTGCCCTGTTTTCTTAGAAACTGAAAGATCTGCTTTAACGTGTTAAACTCACCCGATAAAGCAAAAACCTCTTTCAGGCAATCGCTTTTAGATCGATTCTAAAATGTCATTTTAATATAAATTTGCTACATTAAACCATATACTGGCTTATTAATGTGCTTTACCATCCATCCTGACTTTCTTAAATCATTTCTCACAAAAACATAAAAAACAAGCATCAATTTAATTGGATCTTACATGTACTTCATTTAATATCACATCATTAATCATGAATCTTATTTCATATAAGTTTTGATCATTAATTAAATCAAATGATGGGACGCACTGATTTCTAAGACAGAACAAACACTCTTGACATTATTTCAAATAGAACATTAATTGGCAGCATGTATTCTAAGTTTCATATGAAATGAATACTGATTGAAAAAGCATGATTTCCAGGCACAAATTATTCGGTTTGTACAGCTTACACCTTTGCGCGTTGGGATCCAATTTTTTAAAAATTTTGTAAGATGAATAAAAAGGCTATGACGTCTTAAAAAAACGTCTTTTAAATGTTTTTTATATCCATAACGTACTAAACCAAATTACCTCTTTGTGAAAGTTTATCTTCTTTTGTTTACTAATTCTCATCCTGTCTTTTTAAAAACAAAAAAGAGTGAAACAGTACAAGTATGTAATCAGGTATAAAGAATATTAAAAAAAACATAAGAAATGCATACAAATGGAAAAACCCTGTGAAGTCCCTATGGAATTATCCATTTGAAACAAAACTTTAAAATATAAATTAATGTATTTCATATTACTTTAAACGCTTTTATATCAAACTATTTCTTCACCAGAATGATCGAGCTCTAACAAACGTATCACATTCATGTACAGTGTTCATGTAAGATAGAACTGCATGTGATATCATTATTCAAATACGGATACATATTGCATAATTTACATGCATAGAATAGGTGAGAATAGGTAAATATTATGATTTATAATCCAGGGCTTTGAACCTTATCCATGCATTAATTAGTTAAGAGTAAACTGCCAACCGGGAGGTACAGACTTGCACATTGTATTTTGTTCGTTATAAATATAAAACCATTGAAATTAATAAGATCTATCATGAATCATTGCTGTTAAAAACTATAAAATCTTTCTAATGCCCCTACAATCAACTATATCATCTTCAAATAGAATAAATTTAAGAGAACTATCCACATATATAGCTTACATATTCACAAATGCTAAAATAATGAGCTTTTTACTATAAAATTGATCCTTTTCCTGCCAGGCAAATTTGAAAGTAAATAATTGAATGTTATCGGGATTTTTAATTTTCACTCCATTTAACCTACCCATTGCAATGGAAATATTGCTAGCAAAATTACTTGTCTCGATTTTTGCAGCAAATTCTGGAAGACTTTTGATTTGAGATTATGAAAGGGGAAAAAAAAATCATGTTCCTCTAAGAGTAAAACTTCAGCTTTCTATATTCCATCATTACGGTTAAATTGAAGAAAAAGTATGGAATGATCCTTTTTTTTTCAATGGCTGAATGTTGGTAGCAAAATATGAAATCAAATTGGAACATAGATTCATGAGGTATCATCAAATTTTGGTCCCAAATTTTCTCCTTTTTGAAATGAAAGACAATTATCGAATTCAAAATTTAAAAATGTTGATGAGAAAAAAGCTCTTCATAGAAAAAAACGCAAAACGAAGAGATCGACATTAAAAATGATGATAAAACTTTTCAAATACTGTCATTAATCATTATGTACATACTTTTTACCAAATTTTCGGGCTTTCTTGATTTCATACAACATTCAAATCTACATTTACTTTGTTTCAACCCAAAATATATATGCATGCCCCCAACAATCCTAGCCAATCTCATATGTATATACACGTATATCAAAATAATTTTTCAAGCTCATGTGAAATACTCCTATACCGCAAGAAAGTCTGATTATCTCATTTGCAACTTACAACTATAACAATAACATTGCACTCACGTGAAACAGAGAAATATCCTAACACGTTTCATAGAAAATTGAATTCATGATAACAACTATTCAAATTTTTAGACTATCATACCTATTCCTCAGTACAATTTATTTTACGAGAATTCTAACCATGGAGGTCCACTTCTAAAAATTTGATTCATGATATATTGTGGTATATTTTCTAAAAAGTTAATAACATGAAGATTTCATTAAAATGTTTTAAAAAGTGAAAGACATAGCCTTGAAACATGCATGGAATCAATAACAGATTTTTAACATGCCTTTGAAAAAAAAAAAGTCGCTTTCAGCTCCCTTTTGCATTTTTAAATTCAACTATACTCCTTAAAAATCCTTGCTTTCTGCTTGCAAGTGCATTTCATATATTAATTATACATCCCTCGTAAATTCAGATCGACTATAAAATTGAAAACATGATAAAAATTGGCAGTTCAAATTTGAAGATCTTAAAAATCTTAAGTATAGGCGCATTATTTACATAGCGGAATGCTGATTGACTGTGACCTTTGACTGTATGACCTTATGTCATATGCTAATCTATAGAGGTCACACATAGATGCATGATATAACCTGTTGGTTTATATATATCAATACTTTTCTTTCAAATGAATTTACCAACCTTTCCATTTCAAACAAAGAATTACCACACATGATTTGATCCTTCAATATCATGCATCATTTAAAAGAGAAAGAAAGCGGTCTTGTAAATAACATTATCAAAACCAGAAACTTTTTTTTTTTTGGTGGAGGTGGAAATTCCAAATGCTTTTGACCATTTGACCTATGACCTTTGACCTATGATACATTGACCATGGTGTGGATGAAGAGACTGGCCGGCAGGAGGTCATCGCCCTTCTCGCCCAATATAGGGACATGATGGTAACCTGGAAAGAAAAAACGTAAAAGGAATTCAATCAATTACATGTATCTCCTTTAAGATGAAAGGTACTATGATTTTTGAATATTTTGCCATCAATTAATTTTAAGCATATTTGTAGCCTATTAAGATTTGCAAAGTATTGTAGTGAATAGCTTCTTGAAATTTTATTTTGATTTGCAAAGGTATAATTTAACATTTTGAGTCAAGAAGTGGAAGTGACTGAATCAGTGTATGAATAATAATAATAGCAGCCATATTTATATTGCACACATATCACAGGGGGATACTCAGCTCAAGATGCCTACAAAGTAGCCCTAGCTGCCCTAGGGTGCTCAAAGCATTCAAGGAATAAATTCCAACCAGGTATCCATTTAAGTACACCCCGCTGGAGAGTGGCAAATGTAGATTAATGTCTTGCCTTGGTGGGACTTAAACTATGAACCATGTGATCCACAGTCGTGTGATGTATCCTTTAGTCCATGACACAAACTTTTTACAAAAATTGTAAATTTCAGGCAAAAATATCATTAAGTGTGTTAAAAGAGAAAGATTTTCTGCATTATTCCTTTCTCTACTTTTAGAATGCATTTCATGAATACACTTCGGGTAAAAATGACAATATAACCTTCACAAGTCAGTTTGTCATATGAAAAGAGTTTTCATTTTCGAATGAAATAGATGGCTGAAAACTTTTGTCATACCTGTACTTAGAACAACTATAGGATCACCCTCCACAATTTCCACATGACATCATCACCACTAGACGAACTTTTTAAGGACTTTTGCATCCATAACGTGACAAAAATGTCATGTCTTAAAGCCACACTGTGCTATTTATAATGCTTGCTCCCTCTATATAGAAAACTTCCTCAATCGTGCCTGTTGGTCCCCCATGATCATCTTTTTCTTATGTTATTTGAGAGCTGAGTTAATGAGATAGCCACCTGTCAGTGACCTTGCAATCAATAAATAACTCTGGAAACGTAGCTCTGTCTTAAAGGTAATAAAAAGTTTTGGGAAATTTTGAAAATTGGGTGGATAGTGATTCTTTGCAATTTTGATATATTTGGATGCCCCTGTGGATGTATTATAAGCACTAGAAAATTTAGCCCCTCAAACACTTCTGCTTTCGAGAAAAATTGAACATAAAAATTTACCGGTGCTCCCGGTAAATTTTGATAAATTCCAAATAGCACCTACGGCCATACGATGGTAGCTGCCACTATGAAAATCTCAGAATATGTAGTTGAGATATATAATTTCCAAACAGGAATAGCTAATCGGTCAATTTTAGTCAAGAAACATTGTTTTATAGCTTAATTAATATCTCGACCTTGAGAGGGAGCTATACAACGTAAACAGTTTATTATTTACAATTTCATAAATTTAGACTCAATTTCAACCTCGAGAATGATCACTGAATATTGTAGGATCGTATATGCTTCTAATATGTTTATTTGGACAACATTCATGACCCCATACCAAAACTTTGTATTACCTTTAATCCCTTCTGGCTGAACTAGTACAGCCGGCCTTTAAAATTTTGAGGAACACTCACCAAGTTGCATGGAGGCCACCGGGAAGGTGTACTGGCCGATGAACTCGTTGGAGGATGCCATGTCGTAGTCTTGGACCACCAACCGGATCAGGGCTAGTTCTGGCACCTTGACTTCAAAGCTGAACTCCTGGTTCCATGTGGGACTGAAGCCTGCAAGTAAGGAAGACACAGAATGGAAATATGGTATTATGATAAGGCTAAGGGCTAGGATTAAGGCTGAGGATAAGGAAAAGGATAAGAGTACAAATAGAGTACAAGATTTGTAAGGCCCCAAATCCATTTGAAATTAAATGCTGAAGGCACACTAGTGCAAAAGATGAAACAACATACAATCACTGCTTCCAGCCAAACTTGTAAGTGTACCCACATAGCTTTCAAATTGGTTATTGTGAATATAATTAAGACCATTTGTGACTTTTTTTTAGTAATAAGACAAATTTTTAACATATTTGGTTTCTTACCATTGTTCTCGACGACCTCTGTCTTGAACTCCTGCTTAGATCCTCCTCCTAGCACATAGACCTTGACGTAGGGGTCAATGACCTCTTTACTACCGGATGGCTTGGGGAGCTGCTGACCACTGATCACCTGTGGGGAATGCAAGGAAGAGAGAGAGAGAGAGAGAGAGGGGTCAAAGATTAATATTCAGTTGAGGAAGGGATAGGAAGCACAGAGAGAGAGGGAGAGACAGAGAGAGAAAGAGACAGACAGAGAGAGAGAGAGAGAGAGAGAGAGAGAGAGAGACAGAGAGACAGTCTTTTAATAAGAAACATGATTCAAAGGAAGAAATTACAAAAAAAGCAGAAAGGAGGATGGAGATTGTGAAAGATTAATATTTCATTAAATTATAATGTTCAAAGAGGGAGATAAAGGTTTTAAAACAAATGATGGATGAAAGAGATGGAGAGAGAGGGTTCAAGAAGAAAGATAACGAGTGAGTGAGGAAGAGAGAGAGAGAGAGATATATAGAGATAAATAGACAGACAGAGGCAGCGGGAGAGAGGTAAAATAAGTAGAAAATAAGGAGATCTCTTTACATTTGAACATGGTGCCTATATTCAATCAATACAAATTTCATAATAAAAAGGCTTCGCTAAAACAAGTCTTCTTGCTCCTTTTCCTTTCCAATGAATTGAATCATTAAATTTCCATTTTTCATTGTTTTATATTTGCTACATTCATTATCCTCTGCAGCTGACTTACTTTGAGTGTTACATGCTGTGTGTATTGATCTCCTGGCTTGAGGGGGTTGAACTGCATGTTGGCTGAAAGATAAAAATAATATAAAAATGCACATATTCATCAGAAAATACATAAGGTGGATGTTCCGTTCCAAGACTTTCATTTTTTATTTTTGTTCAGTATTCAATCAATAGAGTATGGAATGAATGATGAATTATGAAGCAAGTGGCATGTGAAAGTTGACTTTGAAATCTGTTTAATTTTTAAATGTTATGCATAATTAAAAACATCACTACATACAAAAAAGATCATTTTCATTAAAACTACCATACTTTTTTCATGAGAGCTTAAAAGGATATGCTATTGGAAGAGCGGATTTCCTAGCAGCAATTTTTAAACTGTGTTTTGTCAGTTTTTTTAATTTACAAGAGTCCTTCTTCAATAGCTAACCAGATTTCTTACCAGAAGTACATCAATCATTCATTTGAGGACTCAGAAACCTTTGAAGTTGTGTCAAAAATTCAACATTTCCATATCAAATGACAAGTTATCATTTATAACCACATCAAAACAAATCAACTTTTATCCAAGAGATCACTTACGTTTCCTACAGAAGACCGGTTTCAGGATGAACCCAGACTTGCCGTTCTGAAGGAACTTTCCTTGATTGAGATCCATTTCTTCACATGGTGTCTGGAAGTTCAAAGCAACTGTACAAAACCACACCAAAAATAGAAAAGAAAATTGATTAACAATCAACACCAGTCTGAAAGTTCCTTTTATTTTTAAACTACATTTTTAGTACTTCACTTCTTTAAAATACAATGGGGGGTCAGAAATGAAATGATTATAATGCAGCACACGAAAGACAATGTTACCTTCCTGATACAGGGATGTCCTCATCAGGCGGCCAAACCTTACACCCTTCATTAAAAGCTCCTCGTATTGTCTGTTTGAAGCCAGAAGGGTGTTAACTCTGTGTTAAAGTGTATGAGTTAATGCCCTTCTGGCTCAAACAGAAGATATGTTCTCATTATTTTGATGATCACTCATTTTAGGTTACTACAACATTCCCTTGACAAAATGAAGTCTATACATCAATCCACCTGTAATTCACTCGTAATAGTCGAGTGCTTGCAATGTGTAAAACATCTGATCTCTGATATCTATGTATCTATGCCAAAAGATTTATGAAAAATTATCTAAAATGAGCTTTCAAGTGTCGAAATTCCCGATTTCATTTCACTTTTGAATTCAGATGTAGATATTTTTTATATTAGAGTCAAAATTGAAATATGTGTAGTATAGCATCAACATTCCTGTACTTGTCATCAATAACAAATGCTAAATGTAAGTATTGTATATCTTTGAATGTAACCATGTATATAAAATTAATAAATCCTCTGATGAGGCACAGAAAAAAGAGGGGGGAAAAAAATCAACATTCCTGGGCGAGATTTGTCACCCACCACATAGAAGGGATGAAGATTATTCTTCTTACCAATCTGAGCACCCACATCCCACATGGGTACGGGGCTATAGTTGGAGGAGTTGGTGCGGAGCCCGCCGGGGTAGATCCTACTCAGGAAGATCTTGTTGTGCTCCACGTAATCCCCTGGCTTGTCCTCTGCCAGACCAAAGGCTTTAGCCTCACCGAAGGAAGACATCTGGTGGCACTTGTCTGGAGACAATTTGTTCAAAAAGAAATATTTATAAATCAACAATCCAAAAGCATCAGTACAATATACATGAAGATGTCAGATATGATCTGGGCCTCATTTCACAAAACTTGTCATCAGTGGCAAATGACAGTTTTTGTTAGAAGCTAGTGAAATCCTTGCTTCTGATTGGTTATCAGCAGATTTGTCACTGATTTTTGTCATTTGTCATTGAAAAAAGGCTTTGAGAAAAGGGTCCTTGGGCAGCTTTTCATGAAACCGTCATAAGAACAAGTCACTGACATCCCATTGAAACGTGTGTTAAACTTAATACACGCATTTCAATGGGATGTCGATGAACTTGTACTAATAACTGTTTTATGAGACGCTGCCCTGGTCTTATGGAAACTAAGAGCCTCCAGGCTTCAACATTTAAATCGAACTACAGAGAGAGAGATTATAGTAAACATTGACCAATCACCAGAAAATATTTTGTTCTGCGAGTTAGGAGTTCCATGTTGCTTTTAATATGAGCTTCAAATATTATTTTCATAAAGAGATATTTCAAGTTAAAATAAACTTTGAAGACTAGTAGACGCACCTGTACGGATCGGACTTGGGTTCCGTACCTCAGATTTCATGTTATCCTTTATTTTCTTCATTCTCCTCAAAACCATTAACTCATAGAATGTTAGATTAAGTTTCTTTAGGTTGGTTTTATCCAATCTAGCTGTACAATCCGTTAATGTGATTGGTACACTTTGGTGTCCAGTTTACTTACATTTCTCCTTTGATGCAGGGAACGAACCGTAGTGGACACTGGCGAGGGTCACTAGATCGGACAGTTCCTTGGCCAACTTCAACTTTTTCTGTATTCAGAAAAGAGAGATGGAAAAAAATAATTTGTTAGACTTTGAACAGCGAGGAACAGGAAGCATTCCATGCCCATGTTTTAAATTCCTAAATCTATTTCATTCACAATTTAATACATACTGCTTGACAACTTCAAATACAATTTGGAATATGCTAAAATTATAATATGCCATAGATAGAAAATTAAACTTGAATTTAATTTGTTATGGAACTTAATGTATTATCCGCATATCATAAACATACATGAATAGTTACTTGTGCTTTAGAGACTTAAAAAAAAAAATATATATATATATATATATATATAATGGTACATGATTCCGTTGAAACTACCCTTTGAATTCCGTCAGTTTGAATCTGCACTACAACAAAATATTGAAAATTTTTCTCTATATAATTTTTTCAAGTTGCAAGTAATTTTCAAAGTACTTTACTACGTCGTATTTAAGCAGTGACTTCATTTAATTCATTTCATCTTGTCTTTCTATATTGAAATTATATACTACATGTATTAGTGAGTCATTATAACATGCATTTACAGCATAAGGCTAAGGGTACATGTAAGTTGGAAGATAAGATAAACTGTTTTGTTTTGTGAGGTGATGGCATTTAAGCGTGGACAGAAAGGTTTACATTTAGAGAATTTTTATAACAGAAAAAATATACATCGCAGGAGAAAATTATTTTAAACAAATTTAGAACATTGCTTGCAACAGGAAAACACAATTTTTGTCTTAACAACACATATGAAATACATGACTGTTAATAACACAGACATGTACAGGGATTACTTATACTAATAATATATTTTTTTTTTAAAGAAGCAAAAAATTAAATTGTGATGATGCATGTATAAGCCCAAAGATTTGTCTGCTTGAGTAATATTCAGAGCAGATTAAGAGCAGTTATCAGCACATCCAAGTGTGAATACACTGCACAGCACAGCCTTATTCAAATGTTATATCCAAAACGCTACAAAGTTTTCTTGGATTAGCAAACCAAAAAGTTCAATTGAGCAAGAACAAATTTTGTCGAAAAAACACTACACACCAGTTTTCATTCAAACAAGAAAATCCCACTTTCATTGAAAATGTTCTATACTGCACATGTTAGAATTGTGAATTCAAGCATATACGTGTCTATGTATCCTGTGCATTTCTTTTGGTCTCATCTTTTACGGAGGTGGGAATTTGTATGTAGGACAAGAGTAAAATGACTGTTTGCCCAATAACTGTTTACGTCTATGTTATAAATCTAATGTTTATATATACCGTGGAAGCATAGCTAAAGAAAATTTTGAAGATGCGCTACTCATTTATGAACTAAAATATCAAGTAACATTGTCTTAAAGTTTCCTCAACTATAACGCATAAAAAGCTTTAGAAGCAGATGGAATTTTTACACTACAAGCAGATTTTTTTTCTTCTTCACCTAATAAGCAAATTTTTACTGAACTACAAATACTATGCCATAAAGCTACCTCACTATTTCTTTTTTTACAGATTATTTGAAGACACTGAACAAATAGGACAAAATCCTGTAGATTACATTTGAACTGGAAAATAGTTAACAACAATGACATTGCATATAATTTCTCAGAATAGGTACATTTAGGTCACTTACTCTACACAGAGACCTGTCTATAGTGACCTTCCAGGGAAAATATAAGTAACCATTGTAGACAGGTGGCCTTTCAAGACAGGTTCTACATTCTACAACACACATTTCCTCCTGGGGGAAGGGTTCTATGACACATGCTCCAGCAATAATTCCTCATCGGTCAAATTTTGTTCACTTCCTAACTTTCTAACTTTCTAACTTCAACCCTGACTAAGCACTATAAACCTAACCCTTGACCTGAAACATGACTCTTTCCCCGCTTTGCTCGACTAATTGAACAAGCACCGGACTGCCAAGGTTGATTTTTATCACACATACATATATACATATGTGTATGTACTATTAAAACTTGTAACAATGTGACAGTCTTGGGTTTGGATCCATAACACATAAAGAATTAAACCTAACCTAAAACCGATTGCATCCACACCCTAACCCTGTATCTTTGACAAAATAACAATCAGAGTGAAATGTCACCGGAGCAAATGTCAGGTCACCAGAGGAAGACAATATAATGGCCACTACACACAGGTGGCCTTTATAGAGAAGTGGCCACTACTAGACAGGTCAAATGTCCAATGAGGCTTCTGTAGGCTACACTCATCGAAGACACCAAATTACCAAGACTTGAGATCTTGCAATGAGCTTCAACTTCACAGTTCTTATATTACCATAAACATATAAACATATAAGCATTTGTTTGTAATTAATGGGACATGCTCCAATTCCATGCAGTTATAATGCTCTAGGATACAGTCATCACACCTAAGGAACCTAGTGTTATACATATTTGGTTTAGCATCAATTTTGACATGCAGAACACACCGACCATAATGCACATTGGTTTTTATTTCAGATGGAGTAAGGGCAGGATGAGGGTGACGACATTGATGTATTATATTCATGACAATACTCTTCTGATAATATCTGGTTTTACCTGATGCATTAATGTGGGATAATGCTGGAGTCATGACATGCCATTCATTGAGAAAAAAAATAATGAAAGTTAAAATGATGACTATATACATGTATAAATCATTACTCACCCTAAATGTAACAACACATTCAATATACAAACATAATTACTAGTACTACAATTCATCTGGGCCCTGTTCCATAAAACTTGATATCAATAAGAAGTTACAATAAATGTCATAAGCTACTGAAATCGTGGCATTTGGTTGGATGAGACCAACTTTTTCATAAAAATTTAGTAATTGTTATCGATAACAAGTTTCATGAAACAGGACCCTTGTATAAAGAATTACAACAACAACAAACAAAAAATATTATTTTATGTTCATGATTATATTTAAACTACAACTTTCCAAATTCAGATTTTCTAAGCCAAACCTTCTACATGTAAATGTATGAATACATGTAGGATCTACTTTTAATAGTATTTATATTACTACTGCTGTGAAAATACACAAGCCACAATACCTTGAAACCCTGCTGGTATATACCACAAGAACAATACCATGTACTGTATTTCATAGAATTATTACATAGAATGCCTGCTCAGTTCTTCTCCTCTCTAATGATATATATATATATATATATATATATATATATATATATATATTGCACAGCAAAATAACATCAATGTCTCAACCAAGATAGTAGCTTATTCTAAAGAAAACTATCAAACGGATACAAATTTTAAGCAAGTGATTTTTCAGATAATTTAAGTTGTGGTAATGAAGTAGAGTGCAATGTGTAAAGTAGCATTTCCAATGAAAATTCATATTCTATTTGGTTTTCTACTTACATGTAGTAAATACCATTGGACCAATGAAATTTAAAAAGAAATCCAATATAGCTGAAAGCCGCATTACCCCAAAGCACTAATAAAGGACATATGCATATATGAGACATCATGAACATGTTCTAGCTTTAGTCGGGATTGGTTTCCAATCATGATAACTCTAGAAATACAATATTCAGAAATAACAATTTGCTATTAAATAAAGGTGCCAAATTTTCCTAATACCATTCAGTTTATAACTACATCATAGATTAGTGCCTCGGGAAGCTCTGCTGGCATTACAAATGAATTACAGTGTACTATCATTACCACAACTTAATTACCTTCCACACTTCAATATAAAAAGTAGCTCCTCATAAAATTCTTTTTTGACAGGAAAAGAAACCACACAATCCTTCTACATAAAGCTTGAAAAGTATTTACATGTAGTCATCTAAGCAAGAAGTTTAGGGAAAAGATATGATATACACAAAAGCAAATATGTGTGATACAGAAAGACCTTTGACAAAGATTTGTGCATAAAATTTGATTACATTATGAAAATGGCCTATTGCTCCACATTGATTTCTCTACACATTAAAGGTATTACAAAGTTCTGGGAAATTTTGAAAAATGGGTGGATAGTGAATCTTTACAATTTTGATATATTTGGATGCCCCTGTGGATGTATTAAAAGCACTAGAAATTTTAGCCCCTAAAACACTTCTGCTTTCGAGAAAAATTGAATATTAAGATTTACCGGTGCTCCCAGTAAATTTTGATAAATTTCAAAATAGCTCCTACGGCCGTACAGTGGTAGATGCGACCATGAAAATCTCAGAATATGTAGTTGTGGTATATAATTTACGAACGGGAATAGCTTATCGGTCGATTTTAGTCAAGAAACATTGTTTTATAGCTTAATTAATTTCTTGACCTAGAGAGGGAGCTATACAACATAAAGTGTTTATTATTTACAATTTCATAATTTTAGAGTCGATTTCGACCGCGACAACGATCAGTGAATATTGTAGGATCGCATATGCTTCCAATATGTTCATTTGAACCAAATTCACGACCCCATACCAAAACTTTGTATTACCTTTAAAAAGAAGCTGAAATCAGTCAATCGCATATTTTCCCCTCATAAAACCCTTCTATGACTGCCATAACTACGAAGCCTAAAAGAAAGTTAAGAAACATCTCTGAATCTCTACTGATTTTCAGAAATTGTATGCGGCTATCAGAAACTTCTGGAGTTTAAAGAATGGAGAATTGCTTTTACTAATCAACAGACACGCAACTACCATGAAATTATTCTACAGTTACCCCTGGTACCCCCACAAGTATATTCCTTTTAGAAATAAGCAAAACTATGCAGAAAGTCTCGAATAGCAGGATGAGATTTAGATGTACAGTGTTAAACACTGTATTAAATTCATTGTTTAATGTATCATGTACTATTGATGCTAATTTCATAGTGATAAATGTCAAAATTTGCAGTAAATTTAACTCAACAAGAGAAGTCTCTACACTACATAACATGTATGAAATACACATCAACCGGTATACACTCATCTACAAGAAACTTAATCATACTGAATTTTTTATTTGTTATTACTGGGTAAATAGAATATTTTAGAATAATATCTAAATGACACTGATGTTGCTCTATAATGATAACTGAACATGACAAGGCTGGTTTGATCTGGATCGATCTAAGACACATGGACGGTACATTGTCTGCTCAGAGCCAGAGGGGTTTTAACTCATACACACCTACACAGAGTTAACGACCTTCTGGCTTTCAACAGAAGATGTTATGAGCAACACAGCCAGAACTGAACTGTGAATTTGGATAGGATTTGTAAGTAGATTCATCATTGATGAACATCAAAATGTGAATGCGGGGCATTTACAGACATAATTTAACTTTGAAAGATTATTCATGAATTTGTATGCATACTTTGGAGTTTGGACCTTTTATCATAGCAGTCATGTAGAGTACATGAACATTGTACTAAAGCTTTGATAACTAATCTACTGAATCACCATAGATCCATCCAGATCTTGCCTGCAATACGAAATGGGCCACTTTCTTGGAACTTACAATAAAACTAAAACGGGTGACATGTGCATCCTTGTGTATGCATCAAGAATGAGACAAAGTACGAAACATGATCAGAATTAAATAGTTAAATGGCTCAATATCTAATACCCGAAACACACCGCTAAACCGACCAATTAGGGGGCATTGGAGGTAATGATTTTTGGGGTTGTTGTTGTTTGGTCTGCAGTTGGTCTGGTGTCATTTTCGGTGATGTGAGTGAGGTACAAGAACTCATGCGATAATCCAATCTTTGTATGTACATTCAAGATAATGATTCACCATATACTGGTACCCAAAAGGGTATTGCAGGGATGTGCCCGGTGAAGTAAAAGTGCCAAAATATTGTAAACAATCATAATTGAAAACTTTCCTAAAAGCATGGTGGCAAAATATTCATCATAAGCAAAAACAAAGTCATTTTTTCTTTTCAAATTTGAACTTTGCAACTGACTAAAACAGTGTTTTAGTCATTCCATTTGATGTGTACAAAATGGGGGCTTCAAGTTTTACTCATAGAGAGAAGACCACAGAGTCTTTTGATCAAAAATATCATCTGGTGTGACATCAAATAATCTTAAAATACCACGATATGCATGGTAAAATTTCAATAATAAAGGGGTCAAACATAGATAGATAAGAAACATGCACTTGTAAGAGAAAATGCTTGTAAGCACATTAGACTTAAAGAAAGGGCAAAACATTTTGTATAAAATTTAGTAGATTTGTTTGTGTACGGTACATGCGTAACTGGTATGGTATATCTATTTTGTCGTTAGTATATGTGTATTTCAGTTACAGCACATCTAATTAAATTCACAGCAACTTGATTATCATGTCATAGATCGGGAAGAAATTTGTAAAGATCATGATACCTTTGTGTCAAAGATTGGAGCAAAAAACACCCCCAAAATAGACTAAAAATACATATGAAAAAGAACTGCACACAGAAACAGTAGCATTCTTCACATACAAAAACCTATGTCTACTAAAGATGTAGAAAAATCCCATTGTAGAAAAGTGCTTTACATGAAACAGTTATTATTTTTTCCCTTGTAATCATATGCATGCAATCTGTAGGTAATAATACTGTACATGTAAAGTGTAGCTACATGTAAACGTATATATGGTTTTATCCAGGGATTGTTTAGAATCGCTTTGATGAAGTGAATTTGGGAAATGGGCTTCATTACAATGAGATTTGATGGTATATAAATGAGTGGAAAAGCTGGAATGCTAAGCTTGAAACACAAAAATAAAGGCTGTGAGATAGGGGTGATTCAGAAAATGAGTTAATTGAAGCCGGTTGCAATATGGCATGCTCGCCACGTGGCGATAAAAACAGTCATGATTGAATACGACACCACTTACCTTTTTCTTGTCTTTCGACTACATATCAAACCAAATCATCCATAAATGAATGAAAAAGAGAAGTATAAAGAAAGACAGAGGAAGAGAGAGAGAGAGAGAGAGAAAGAGAGAAATACAAACAACATACAAAATTTAACATGGTATCAACATTCACAATGGGAAAGGGAAATACAGGAATAATATCAAAATGCAATGTGCCAAACAGGGAGCAACACGTATAATTTGCGAAAGCTGTTTGACGTTCATATGAGAACAATGATCTGTACAACAACGACATCAATATATAAATTGGCATGCTGGACAAATTCACACTTGTATCAAACAGATGGTAGACTCGACACATTGCTGTTCACATATGGAAATAGCATTGACTGGAACTGATGTACAGGAGTAATTCATGCGCTTTGACAAAAAAACAGAAATCGTAATTACATTTTGTGAAATTCTTACATTTAAGTTAAATAGACATTGGATTAAAACAAAACTTAGAAAAAAACAAAGGATGACTGTTTGACTTTAAGAGAAATGGTGCTACTTTTCCTGGAACTGCTAAGTTTTATTTATTGTTGCAAAATGATAATTAATTTTGCAATCACATCTAATAAGAGCCATATGATATTAAATTCTAAGCTTTCAAATTTTGATGATTTCATATCAATGCTCTCACAAGAACATTCGTACGTACAACATTTAAATATCTGGTACATAAAATCTGAAGTGTAAGCCTATAGGATATTTTAAACTACTCTATACCATGCATGTAAAATTAAATACAAAATGGAGTACTAAATCATGATTAGAGTATCCTACTATAATACATTTATAATGGAAGGAAGATAGAAGGACAGACGATTAATAATACAGTAGTACTAAACTTAACTCAAATGGGATACTGTAAGTCTAACAAGTGCTACCACTAGTTCTACTACTCGAAAATAACCCTAGATGGAAAAGAAATGATATCACTGTTCCATATCAGATTGACCTGTGTCACTCTGCCCCATCAAAATGATATTTAAGACATAATTCTTGAGTTCATGATTAAAAGGTTTGATTTTTTTAAACAATTTCTTAAATGACACACTGCTAGACTACAGTCACTATGGTAGTTACATGCATCTCTAAACGATAAGGTTGATTAATTTCTTCCCTGAAAGACCGAAAAGATGTCTGTAATATATTTTCATACTATCTTCTGATATACCGTACTTGACTACTCTAGAATGTATATATCTAACTGAGTGACAGGAAAGACAGTGTTGGGTAAGAATAAATAGGACAATATGAATCATAACAGTATTGCAATGTGACAATTATAGGGTACATTTTGCAAAAGATGAATGTGCACCTTTTTTTTGCATTAAACTTTATTTTTAAACTAATTTGATTTCTACTCATTCTAACTTTGAAGGAAATATTTTGTCATGGATTCAAAGAATCTAGCTCGAAAAATGATCAAACTCGCCAGAAAATAAAGCTCACCTATGAATTGATTTGAAAAGTCACTGGTTTTCTTTCAAGGAGGGATACAAAACCATAGATAAAATGAAAATATTTATCATGGTAAGTGTGATGAAAACCTAAGAAGTATCGATGTTCTTTATAACAGGAAGTCTAGTGACAAATTTCTATTGATTACAGTAGTCCAATAAAAACCCAATTGAGATTTCATTTTCTGGATTAAATTACCTATGGAGGAAGATACTGTAGATACATTCATGGTTATATCTGTTTTTAACAAGTTGGAGACAGTTTTAATTTCATTTAATATGTACTTCCGATATGTTCAATCTGTGGGTCATCTATGGGTCATCTATGGCTCACATTGGAATGCCAGATGTGTGAACTGCAATTTGATTGTGACTTTGATCAGGGCCCTGTTCTTTACTTGTAGGAAGAACATGGACAACTGATTCAATGACATTTTCGTCTGATTTTGACCCAGTTGGTGACAGTTTTGATTTGCATTTCTGTGGGTTAAATCCCGAGTCTCGGACTTACATTAGTTTTCTTGGTGGATTGATTCTTAATAATTGATGGCACGTTTTAAAAATTGAGACCTTGTAATAAAGTAGATTTAGACACTGGATCCCAATAATAAGAAAGTAGTAATAAAGGTATTCAAAATTTGTACAGAACAATACAAATCTTGGATGCAATAAATGACTAAATGTAAGTGAGAAGCAAAATCACATTAAGTCTTAACCCAGTCCATACTTGTGTCCTTTTCTGTTTTAAACCAATATGATAACATTGATGCAAATTACACACAATATGACAAATACAATTAATCTACACACTGAAGTACAATGCACATCGATGTAAAATGCGGGCGAATGCTTAAATCCCAATGGAGACATTTGCATTAACATCTTCGCAGGCAGAACAATGGGAGCTCCATGGAGACAAAATACAAATGGCAACGACTCATGAATGACTGAAGTTTGGGTACATGTAATGTACAAAGACATGTAATGTACAAAGACATATACCAGTAAACAAAAACATAGTACTAAAAGTGATTCAAATGCTGGGTGAGGGTGTCTTGCATTTAAATATGTACACAAGAACACACGTGGATGCCTGTATGTGTGAGATGAATAATGAATACTAATAATGGAGACCGCTGAGCTCAAACACTTACCTTCTCGCCTTCTTCAGTCTATAAAATCAATGAAGAAATTGATTCTTTTACAGTTATATCTGTAGCAAAATCTTATTCATATTGAATTTTACATGAATTAACTTCATAAAGTTACATAAAATGCCTACTTTATTGTAAGAATCGATCAATTTATTTAAGTGCCTTTTTGAATAACTTTTGTTCTTTTATCTCACGCTTTAATTTTTCTGTTTTATCTGTCTACCTCTACCCCCCCCCCCCCCTTCCTGGTCCTTTACGCCATACGTTACTGGGTCCCTTGCTTTCAAGCACGCACAATATTTTAAGTAGGTACAATATGTTCCCTTCATTGATATTATTCTACCACAATCATTCAATTATTGAAAATACATGACATCCGAAAACAGGTTCTTATGTATGTACATGTACCTATGCATCTGCCAAACCTCATTAAACAATAAAACATTGTTGTCGCTCATGATACTCCGAATTCCACCGACTGTGCTACACAAAGCAATCCCTGAATCACTTTAATAAGCCATTCCAACATCAAAGCTAATGAGGTCCCATGTACACCATACCAACACAAAGTGCAAATAATCTATTGCAAACTGTATTTAAAAAGCTCCATAAACATGTACCTAACCACTTTTCTTTTAAAATCAATATATAGTCAACTAACAATTCATTTCTTTTTTCAATATCATATATGCAGTAACAATAAGATATTCTGCTGACTTAAACAAAAACATAATCTGAAACACATATGTAGCACTGAGTTTAAGCGCTGGATCAATCTCCCTTTACAAAGTCATGTACAGACACAGCTCCGTGAACCAAAGCTATAAATTCCTGACTCCCGGTTTACGATTATCCATGCTAAGCACTTTGCGACAGGATTATCTTCTTCCACTAGCCTTAATACTGGATCTATTCAGTTCCTAAAGGCAACTAACTAATTAATGTTAGAGCAAGATTACATGGGGGCAGGCAAGCAAGAATACAAGAGCGGGCCAAGAAGCACCCAGACAAGCAAAACGAATGATGAAAAATCATTGTTCACCGATAATATTCCACCAATAAAGCTTGAGATACTTGATAAACTCGAGATTGACGCCCTCCGAAAACTGCTTTTACGCTTCTGGAGAACAATAGGAAAAAGGGAGAGCCAGGAATGGAGTACATGTACTTTTCCAATATTCCATATTTTTATGTTAAAATTAAGCTAGACTTAAACAGAAAAGTTTCATTCAAAGTTTGCCATAGGAGCATTGGGTTCAGAAGAATTGGGTTTAGCCCAAATAGTCTGTATGTGTCACCATATTCAAAAATGTTTCGCAGTGTGCCTTGGAGCTTTGATGCAAGGATTTTTATTTGCTCTCCTTAAAGAAAGATAACCTCTATTTTCATGAGATGGATCAAAATAACATAACCATAGACTTTAAGTCTTAACGTTGAAAGGTATACCCACAAGTCGGTTCTAAGGCAATTATAATTTAATATTATTAAGATTATGTGCAGGTTAAACTTAAAGAACTAAATCATTCTTCATTAGAACTTATTTTAGCCCTTGCAAATCTTGTATATCTATTCTTTACAGGCTACTCTAACATTTTCCCCCAGTTAGCTATCTGTAACAAGATCATAATACATACAAATATATATTTCAATTTTTGCAGCGTAGTGGATATTTTAAAAAATGTTTTCTTTAGTTTCTTGACGTGAGAGTTAGCACACCACTGGGATCAGATTGCTTCATACTCTACTTGCCTCTACGTGTTACTTTCCAGGGACAAATGGCGCAATTCAATAACAAGCCCAGATCAACTACATGTATGAAGGAATTTTCTTGGTTAGTGCCATTTCCAATCTTCAAAACGAATGTTACATTAACATAAGTTGATTCGCGTGCTGAGATGGTTTATAACATTTAACACTTGATGTCTAAGAACCAAAGGAAGTGTCGAAGGTTGACACCCTACACTAAATACACAAACCTTAGATGCATAATAGCACCAACACTTGAAGTCTGGTGTCAGAATTGAAAGAAGCTCCCATTGTTATGGCTCTACACTAAACACCTAAACCTGAGATGGATTATAACACTAACACTTGAAGTCTGGTGTCAGAATTGAAAGAAGCACCCATTGCTATGGCCCTACACTAAACACCTAAACCCGAGATGGATTATAACACCAACATTTGATGTCTGGCGTCAAAATTGAAAGAAGCTCCCATTGCTATGGCCCTACACTAAACACCTAAACCTAAGATGGATTATAACACCAACACTTGATGTCTGGCGTCAGTATTGAAGGAAACTCCCATTGCTATGGCCCTACACTATAAACACCTAAACCTGAGATGGATCATAACAACAATGATTTGATATCTGGCAACACACACGTGTTAGTTAGTGGCCCTACACTTCAGATGGTTTAAAACACCAACACTTCATCTACGGTGCCAGACTTACAGGAAGTACCCATGGTAATGGCTCTACACCTAACGCCTACACCTGAGATGAATGTGAGCACCTAAGCCGGGGGTTTCATAGCTTACCTTGGTGGTTGTCTTCTTCTTGTCCAGCTCGGCCTTGAGTTGAGGGTCTTCGGTGTCGATGTCGGCTGCCTCGTCTTCATCACTGACTTCACCGTCATCCTCTGTGGTGGCGGCGGATGGGGGAAGACTCTTACCCTAATTAAAACAAGGGTAAGATAAGGTATGTTCTCATATTACTTAATGTATACAGGAGGGTGTTTCACAAAGACTAAGGTCATCTTCAAGTTGGACTTAACTATGGCAGGCTGTTCATGCCACCGTTTACCATTTCCTGGCATTGATCTCCCAAGGGACGTACAAAATCACGGTCACAAATCAAGAGAATTTACATTTTTTGATAATTCATTATTAAAGGGGAAAATATTATCTAAAGATCATAATGGTGAGAGAAAACAGTGGCATGAACTGCCTGCCATAGTGAGTCCAACTTAAAGTTGATCTTAGTCTTTGTGAAACACTCCCCAGGTGTATTTTATGGTAAAAGGAAATCACAATGGTCCACTCATTGGTTGATTTGTATAGTACTTTCTGCAAACCTTATTTTCTCCTCAACCCGCTGTTAAGAAATAATGTACATTCTGAAAAGATAGTGCTAATATTGACAGCATGTAGTCTGGAAACACTAGCACTCATCAATGTGCGAAAGGTACTACATAATTGATTGTCACCAACTAATGAGGCACATACTCCTTAAAGGGATAGTTGAGTTCTGTTGCAGAGGGCGCTACACAAAATACTTTTTTTTGTGGGATAATGAAAAACTGACTGTCAAATTTGAAAGAACATACAATTTAAATGAAAAATTCATCTTTGTTCAATCAAAATCGGTTCAGAGATGGCTGAAATATCCATAAATATAACCATTTCTAATACTTGTGTACCACCACAAATATTAGATAATCTGAACCAGCCTTTAAAAGCTGTTGAAAAAACAAAATAGCGTATGTATTGTTATTTTTACTTAATCAATTAACGGTCAACGTATCTTTTTGAAAGTGGAGCTGAATTGGAATGATCTTATTGGCTAAATTTCACACATTTTAGGGTCTAAAATTACCTTCTTAGCAATTTTAGGTCCTAAAAGGGTTCTGGAAATGTCATAAATAAGAATAAGAGCAATAACCATGCACTTTGAAGGCATTTGCGATCTGAAAACAGAACTCAACTATCCCTTTAAATTTGTTGCAGTGCATGTCTTGTTTTTCTTTTCCAGCAATGAAATTTTGTTGAAACAGTTGAATGTAACTTTTATCAAAAGTACAAAATAAAATTATTATAAATAAGGAGAACCATGACACTAACATCACTAAACAATACTTGAATTTTAAATGGTTGAATAAAGTGAACTGAAGTGGTCCAATTGTCAAAAGAACATGCTTGATTTGCAGTCAAGCTTCTTTAATATGGGCAATTACATTTCTGCAGTCCCACTCAAAAGAAATCATGTACTGCTGATGACAAGATTAACTCTGAACCACAAGAACCACATACCTTGATAAGGATCTTTCCTTTGAGTTCCTCTGGAGATGGGAAGGCCGCTTCATTGTGAAGGTTGTTATTGGTGTAAAGTTTGTCTGAAATATTCAAAAGGTTAAAGGTAATGAAAATGAAATAACAAAATTTAGTGTTTATTATTTCTCTTTGATTTTGTTTTGAAATGTTATTTGTCTTAGCTATAAAAGTGACATTAATAATAGCTCTGTCTGATATAAGAACATATTATCAAACATTTAAACTTTTAAAAAATTGGTGCAACTCTATAATATTTGCATTTAACATTTAAACATAGATACATATACTGATACATGTACCTTACACTTACATGTACACACATCTGAAAAGTTTCTTTAACCAGGTTAAATCATACATTTTTGTTTTCATTACTTTATATATATTTATCTCAATTACTTTGTATTCTACTTCTCTCTTCTTCATTCAAATCATTCTTGCTTTTTTGTCTCCTTCCATTTCTTCTAAATAATCTCTTACTTTCTCTATCTCCGACTTTTCAAAATAGTGCTCCTTTTCTCAAAAAGAGGTCATCCAGCACTCACCTTTGAGTATTGAAACGCAGATCTGAGCCATCACCTTCTGTTGCTCCACACTGCAGTGGTTCTCAAAGGACAGAATCAAAGGATACCTGGTGAACAAGAAAAACAGAATACCACGATATAAAGTGACATACATGTAGATCTATACCATATGTAAACTTGCGTTCTGGCAACGAGGGTGTCCTTTATGGTTCAAACTGTTTAAATAGTTGTTCAGAAATGGCTGATCATGTGAAAAATAAGATATTCTCAAGCGATACTGACTTTGACAATGAAATAAAAACTAAATTGGACACTGCAGTGGTTCTCAAAGGACAGAATCAAAGGATACCTAGTGAACAAGAAAAGCAGAAAACTATGATATAAAGTGACAAAGAAGATTGCATTAGAGATCTATAGCAAAGGTAAACTTGATTTTTGGCAATGAGGGTGTCCTTCAGGGTAACTGTGAAACAGTGAAACCTGTCTATAAAGACCACACAAGGGAGACAAGAAAAATGGTCTTTATAAATAGATGGTCTTTATGTATGGGTTACTTTATTACATGTTTCAATGAGAAATCATTTCAAGGGAAACAAAAAATGTGGTCTTTGTAGACAGGTGGTCACTAAAGCAGGTCTGGCTGTAGTTGTTCACAATGACTGATCATGTAATAAATAAGATATTCTGATACAATACTGAGTTTGACAATGGAATGTAAATTAAATTGGATCACTTGCTGAAAACCACTCGGGATGAAAATAGAACCCACCTAAATACGCATATATACAGGAATATACAATCAAACTGCTGTGGCAACCACCTGTACAGAAATAACACCTGTTCATAAAGACCACATTATTAATCTCCCTTGAAAATCAGTTCTCATTGAAACCTGTACTTAAGCAACCTGTAAATAAAGGCCACCTGCCTATAGTGACCACTTTTCTTGTCTCCTTTGAGTGGTCTTTATATACAGGTTTCACTGTACATTGATGACACCAATCACAACCACATATGACTGCCTGCTTACAAAGATATTTATTTGTTCATGTCCAACTCATGCAGTTTTTACATCAGGGGTAATAGTGAGAGTTTAACAAATGATATATTTTTAAAAAAGAAAGAAAAAAATCAACAATTTTTTTTTTATTGGGGAAAATCTGGAGAAAAAAAAATTAAATCAGGAAATTATCTGGTCCGTTATATACAGGTTTAAATGCATTTTAAACCTAAATTGAGCACTTACTCGGAAGCAGCGAAGGCATATTTGTCTACCACTTCAATGATGTCTCGGAACTTGATCTTGGATGTGAGGGTGTGGCCGTGGTAGACGATGGGGTCGTTATCAGGTCCATCCCAGCAATCCACTGAAAGATGAAATAGATACACGTAAATGGAAGAGGTATGCCTTAATTATCATCACCACTATCTTTATTATCTGTAGGGTTACATATTGATTCTTGTCTAAATTTTAGTATTGGGTTTGATAACTCGAATATATACAGTATCATGATAACCATCATAACTACTTCTGCATCATACACCATAACCACACCTAGAGTCATCCTCACCCACTACCACTACCACCATTTGCATCACCATCACCCTCACCCTCACCACCCTTACCATCACCACCACCATCATCATCATCATCACCATCGTCATCGTCGCCACCACCACCACCACCACTACCACCACCATCACTATCATCCCCATCATCACCATCACCATCATCCTCATCCTCATCATCACCATCATCACCATCACCACCACCACCACAACCACCACCACCATCACCATCACCATCATCGTCATCATCACCATCATTGTCTCAGCCGTCTTCGTCGTCACCACCACCACCACCACCACCACCACCACCACCACCACCACCACCATCATCATCAATACCAGTGATCACAATCATTCTCATTACCACAAACCACAATAATCATTCCTTTTCTCTTTGCTCAAAATAAACTATTTTAACCCTCATCAACATCATAACCACTATACCAGATGACTTACGTTCTACACATCTGCATCCTCTCTGCAGTGCGCTGATATAGGCTTCGGTACTGCTTGGTCCTCTGAGCTGATCATCCAACAAATATCTGTTATCAAATGTTATACAAATCAATCATAAATCATACAAATAAGAACTAAATGTAATTTTTAACTTTAGAAATAATAATTGATCCATCAGAAGAAAAAAGATTAATGCATACAAACCAAATCAATTAAATTATGAGAAAAATGCAGTACATAAATAATTTGTAAATTTAATCGGACAATATAGATTTATCTGGATAAAAATGACCAGATAATTGTAAATTTGAAAGAATATACAATTTGGGGAGATAAATCTGTTTTGTGCATCAGGGAAATCATGTTGAGTACAATAGATAAGTCATCTAAATTCGAAGGTACATATATGCTTAAAATCATAATATTTGTAAGCAGATTTGAATAAATCATGACAGTTGAGATGACATAAGCTTCTGCGCATTCAAACTAATAATTCTAAGTTCACAAAATATGGGAATCATCCGACTGACTTTAGACTTAGCACAAGTGGAATATCTAACAAGACAAATTAGCGTTATCTCAATCTACTCACGTGTTGTGGGATGAGTTGATGAAGTAATGGGCCAGCGGCTGCTTCATATCTTGGTAGACATCTTCATGGAATGGGTTGAAGATGAGTCCACTAGGCCCCATCATAAACAGGAAGAAACCTGAACAAACAAGAATTAAACTGATCATTACCCTCCGCAAAAAGATATTCTATTTCGTCAAAACAACAAATATGTAATGAGTTCGAACTAACTTCAACTCAAATGGTAGCTAAAATATGGTTAAGGGACAATATTACTACAATCTTGTTGCACAAATTGGAATGCAACATGTGAAATGTACATCATAGTGTCATTATCACCTTACCTGGAAGAAAAAGTACATTGCATATTAAAGTTAAACATACATGTAGGATGTACAGGTGTCGTGTGCACATTGACATCATTGGAATGTATGTTCTAGGTTGGATACATACCTCAAACTATTTCTTACATGTACCTCTATTTTGCTTGATATTCCAGTTTAGGAAAAAGTACATCTTTACAGTCATTTAGCTGCATTGATTAGCTAGTTTCTTACTATTCATCAACTAAACTAAAATACATCTGATGAAATGTTTTGGATGGCTTACCATAACTTTATGTGGGAATTAACATTTCTATTTTGTTTTCTTCGTTTAAACATGTTTAATACTGGTAAATACTTAGTATGTAGTGGTTTACAATACGAAAGTGTTTTTCATTATGTGCTGTATTCTCATACTCCTGCTCAAGTGCTTGAGTTGAAGTATCTACAGCGATTAATTAAACAGGACTTGAAGAGACAATGACATCTTGATACCATATTTAGGTAGGGAGATGAATAGAAACAAAACACTGGCCCAGCCCTGCCCTGCCCTGGCCAGGTTTCATAGGAGCATTTAAGCCTTCCATTCTATAACCATTCATTAATGGGCAGGACATTCTCTTTTGTGGCACAGTAATCCTGGTTATTGTTTACTGCTTGGAACTGAATGCTGTTAACAGACGCCCAAAGAAACTGCTCAAGAACACTCTCAGACCCTAAAACACTTTGAATTGGCTACTGACAAAGGACTATGCGTATCTTCATCTATATAGTGTGCTCCATATGCATCACACACATTTGCATAACAAGAGTCAACAAACAATTGATCCATTAGTCATTAAAAGTGGGCTCATGGTTTAAGAGTGACAGGCTAGAATAATCATTGCTTATTGTATGATTTTCATATAGCCATACAATTAAATTTGGTCTTGCGAACAGGGTTTCATGCATAATTATTCCAAACAATGTTATAAATCACATTTTCAAAGTTTGTATTCATAACATGAAATTTTATATATTGCATGTATGTTTGTTTGTTTTATTTTGTTTGTCTGCTTGTTTGTTATAATTACTTTACAGTTATGTATTGTTAATTTTCGGGTCAACGTATTATAATACTATCAGCTCTTTTTTGTTGACCCCTCATTCTCATAATTTGCTCTGTCTTGCTTTCTACTGATGATACGCTTTTAAATATTGAGGGTTCAGTGACAAGAGGACGTAACTCCATACTTTTCCAAAATGAGTATTTAATATCAAAATATTCAGAAAAATGTGGGCTTTCTAGGAAACACAATGGCTTAACTCCACCCAACACCCTATTGAAGTCAATGGCTAGTGAAACATAGATTTAACTCCTTAAGGCCCAAGTGCTTAGTGACACACAAACCACTTTTTCTCAAAATGGCCAAAATGGAGTTACGTCTTTGTGTCACTGACCCCTCAATATATTGTGTTTACTGAGAATGAAATAAAGACTGAACTGCATTACCATCCATTGTGAGGATCTTCTGGTCTCTGAACTCCTGGTTGGGTTCATACTCCTCAATGTTAGTAGCGCACCACTCCGGTGTGACCTCTAACCTCTGAAAGAAAGTGAGTACAAAGGTCATACGAACATGTTAACCCGATGAATACTGAATTCTCTCATACCCATAGGCTTAATACAGGGTTAATCTGGTTCTGGTAGGCAATGGGTTAGGAGGAATACGTAAGACTTGTTCAAGATTTTACTCCAAATACTATTTGACACTTGAAAGACAAAAATTTAATTATTTGATTGCTTCCAACCTCTGAAATTGAAAACAACAACGAAATTGCAGCAAAGCCACAAGGATTAATTAAATGAAATTAGAAAGGCTTATTCAAGATTTTTACCCAAATACCATTTGACACTTAGATGACAGAAATGAAATTCTTTTATTGCTTCCAACCTCTGAGAATGAGAGGAAAGAAAGAAGGAAAGTCAAAGGCTTTAAAAAGGAATTACTGCAACTTAGATTTTGAAGCCCTTGACCATTAGTGTATTTGAGTAGCCCTGGCCAACCAGGCAAGTGAGTTTGTAAAAATCCGACTAAATAAGCCGGGATACAGTATTGCTAAAAACAAATATTGATTGGGCATAGTGCAATATGACTAGTGGACTGGAGTAATGAAAACAAAAGGCATTCAAGAAACAGTCATTGCACTTTTTACGCAAATTACATTGAACCTGTATAGAAGGAAAACTCAAGGGACAACTCGGACAAGAAATGTGGTCTTTATAGGCAGGTGGTCTTTAAGTGCAGGTTCTTTTAGTACACACTTCAATGAGAAATATTATCAAAGGGAGAAGAAAAAAAGTAGTCTCCATAGATAGGTGGTCATTAGAGAAGGTTTTACATGAAGATAACTTTCCAATAAAATGACAACATTTAATCATCTATCTACATTATCTATATTTATTCCTTCCTCTTGTAATGTAATAATCCTTCTTTCGCTCGCCAGGTCCAAACTGAACCAGAGGAATAGAGCTTGATTGACGACATGCCCATTTATTTGTGATGGATGGGGCAAAGATAGTAATAAAGAGTTCTAGATCATTGAAGCATGTTACTCATTACTCATGCCTCAATCTACATGTGTTTTAATGCTTTCACAGACCTATACAGAAGTATAAATGAAGGGTTGATGACAAGAGAAGTGAGAATAAAAATACACTCTTGAATGCCTGTAGATGATACACAATGGTTCATGTAGCACTACATTGAAAAAGTGAAGTGAATTACGCATACCGGTACAGAATAATACAAACTTGTATTTTTAGATGTGAGTATTTTAGATGCCTCCTTCCTAATGTTCGGTTTTTGTGGGTGGTAAAAATATTTGACAAACAAATTTTGGGGGAACTATTGTCAGCATACGTGGTTCAAGCACTCCCATTTCCCCCCAAAGATCTTGATTTTCAAAAGAAGAGGATATATTCAGAATGAAGCAAATACATATGTCTTTGTTGACTCTCAACATGAGTAACAATGGTTTTCATTCCCATAAAGAATCACGTTTCAATAGAGAAAGACATGTCTAGGCACTCTTTTATATACAGTAGCAGTAGCTGTAATAATACCATATAGTTACACATTACTATTTTGTACAACTTTTATGCATGCAGTATTGAATGCAGTAGCAAGTCCATATCTTGATTTTGTAGTTTTTATGGGTCTCTTTTTCTTATCTTTTTTTTAATATCAGTTATAATGTCTTGTTTTTTTTCAATCATGGGGGGGGGGGGCTCAAAGGACCCCTATTTCTAGTTCAGCAAGTGTACACTGCATATTTTTTGAATGAAGCCCTAAACCCCATTCAAATCCCAACAACAAAAGAGTAGGACGTTTGAAGTGACCAACCCTGAAATTTCCCTGCAATGTTCTGTTTCCGTATGTGCACACTGGAATTCCTTTACCGGTGAAATGATTTCCATTTTCCTGGGGGGGGGGGGGGGATGTGGGTCTGCGTGAGGATCTGGCGAGGATCTGGGGAGGGGGTATTTGTGGGGTAGTTAACCATCTATAATATGAACTATTCCTCTGAGTTAACAATGACAACGCACCTTCTGTTCTTCATGCATGAACTCGGCAAACTCCTCGGGGGTCCAGTAATCATCGTCGCCAGAGTACCTGAAGGAAAGACACAAATGACAAAATAAAAACTTTTAATCAAATTTCTTTGGTGACACCTACAAATGTATCACAAGAACACACCCTATATTGTCGCAATGTAGGTCACAATGTTCCTATCACCTCGACTTCATGTATACAATGTATGTGCATGGCAGGGGGTAAAATGTTTGAAAGGAGCTGCTCATAAATGTACATGTCTTCCTAGAAGATTTTTTTTCTCTCCTTTTTTAGCATTCAAAGTAGGCCTGTCTCATCAGCTTGAGTTTGCCAAATAACCTGCTATTTTAACTACAGTATCCCAAATTAACCAGTTAATTTGTGTCTTCATCAGCCTGCAGTTGCAATTAGTGGGATATTTGGTCGAGAAAAAATCCCAAGAAATCTTGGTCTTGTTTCCAAAATATCCCTCTATTTGAGAAATAGCAGGCTAATTTGCGCCTGTCTGTGTTGGTTCGTGATGAGCGTACCAATCTGGTGAAGATGCAATTTCGAGTTTCGGGATAATATCCTGAGTCTGAAAATAGCGGGTTATTTGGCAAACTGAAGCTGATCAAGACAGGCCTAGTGTCAATGTTTACCAATGTGAAGATAATCGGCAATGAAACAGTTTGCAGCCCTGATGACAGACTTCAGAATCTAAGCACGACCTCGTATCTTTCAAAGGTCTAGACCTTTTTCAATGAATCTCTTAATACCTTAAATTACTCAGATCCTTTGCAGTACATACATTTCAGGCACTGATTCTAAAGGGCATGACTGCATTAATCACAATCAAGAATTGTAATGATTGAAGGCAGTAGAAGTTCTGGAGGGGGGCTTGGGGCAGTTACCCCCCCCCCCCCAAGAAAAGAATCTTCTCCTAGAACTGCACCTGATTGAAGGGATTTCACGTATAGAATAATATCAAAACTCTGTCACATGAATCAGGAATTAGGTAGCCTCTTACTGCGGTGTTGGGATTTGAAACTCTCATTGAACCTTAAAACGAAGCATGTGAACCGAAGGATTTACAAGATCCCCAGTCTCCCACAAGGTTCCACTTCCTTCCTTCCCCCACCCACACAACGTCCCCCACCCACATCCACAACCGCTACCTCTCCAGAGAGTTTCTCATAATTTTTTTTACTAAAAACCTTACTTTTTACAGCAAAAACACTATTCTAACCAGGACATTTTGCTACCAGAAATTTAGCTCATTCATGGTAAAATGTAGCTTAACATGCATTCACTGAAATAAAAAAAAAACACAACTTGTTGAGAGCTCTGACAGCCCCCCCCCCCCCCACCTCTCCCCTTCTTTCTGCATCCAGTAAATACTGACAGACATTGGCAAATTGCAACTATATTTTGATGTTAAAAACTTGAACAAATTCCCTCCTAAGTTGTTTTGATCAATTATAGATATCCGCTCGTGAGTCTCTTAATTATTTCAATACCCGAAGGTGCGCCGCCGGAAAGAGAGAGCTTTCTTCACAGTCTGACTCAGCTGCTATCAAAGTGCCAGACAACTTTTCTTGAAATCCAAATTGCTCTCTCTTTAATTAGTTTGGTTGCAAATTTTGCAATCATAACTCAAAATGATTTGCAGAGGTTTGTCTGATAACTGCTTAATTTCATGCATGGTTAATACATGCTTAAACCATTGCATGTTAATGTAGGGGGACATTTTCTTGAAATAATTAGAATCACTTAGTTTAAAATCACTTTTTGAATGGCTAGGGTCTACAGGATTATGAGGTGTACATGTAGGTCATATGGGTTGGATATACTTGAATCATTTTCTTAGCTGCACATTACAAATTCTCTGTCTGTAAATAAATAACAACATCTCTGTAATTTTCATGTATTTTATTTATTTATCTGTTTGTTTTTATGTTGTGTTTTCACTTTACTGGTATACATTGTAATATCCACACAATACAGGGGCCCCTTGTAAAGGTAAAGCAGGCATTGTGGCACTGAATGGGGCTACTCTGTGTTTTTAAAGAAGATTAAATGAATAAACATCTAGAACTCCTTCTCAGAAATTGTGTGATATAATGGTGTTGTATACGCATTGTAGAAATAAACATTTTTAATATAGAGTTTGATGATTCTGGTCCCTGCTGAATACATGTACATGCCCTACTATATACAGAGGTGACAAAATTCATCTAAATGTGATTATAACGACCCTACGCCATATGGTTATGCTATCAACGAGCTCAATCCTTGTACATGTACTAGAACCAGTGGCATATGTAGGATATTCTAAAACCGATGAGGGGGGGGGGGGTACAATTCAGCAATAACATGTACTGAAGGGGACAGTTTTGTGTACTTAAGATATGCCCCCCCCCAAAAAAAAAAAAAAATAAATAAATAAATAAATAAATAAATTTTTAAAAAATGCCAAAAACCAAAAAAATAAATAAAAATAAACAAATAAATAAATAAATAAATAAATACAAAGTAAATAAATATATAAATAAATACAAGAAGATAGAAAATCACCCTGATCTGAACTACATCTGTACATGTTATAGTCTGCATACCATGACACCCCAACCACTGGGGAAAATATATTGTCATCATGTCTTGAACGTAAGACTAGCAACAGCTGACCCAGGATAGGTGAAAGGACCATCAAATCTATGTCAGCTTTATTTCCTGCTGCCTGCCCCATCCAGCCTAGCTGACCTCTAATGGCTCCCTATTCACAATACCATTGGAATGCAAACTGCAATCACAGAAACCTAGCTATTATTATGTTCAGGTTATAACCTGCAAATTTGTATCCGCCTCAACCTGAATCTTTCTGATACAATAGCTCGTATGTTGACAATCTGAGGGCTTTAGGCTTGCATATCGTATCATAGTAATCAGGGGGGGGGGGGGGTCATATTAGGCTAGGTAAACTTGTATCCAGTACATGTCTCATTCTATACTCGCTTCTTTTTCTCTGCCCACCTCATTTTCCATGTCATTCGTTGTTTTTTGTTATGGCATATGAGATAATCAGACAATTTCTGGAGAATTGGGTAGCCGCGATTCACCAGAATAGTGGGATTCAACTTGATTTGGGCCTCTTTAGTGCATGGACAGATTTAATATACAAATAAAATTTGTAATGAAATTGACCCCATACCTGTACATTGTAGCATTTGTATTTGTGGAAATGATCAAATAACATGGAACCCCTCCGCAGCGTATTTGAAAGACTGTTTTTAGGATCTGGAAAAACTATAAAATAAAAATGTAAACAATTTGGCTGAATTATGGGAGTTGTCTCCCCCTCGGACATCCTTCAGAGAAACCTCAAAAAATATTGGCTTAGACTGACAAATATTTAGACCCACCCAGTCCTCTGTGTACGCAGTCTTGAAGTACCTGTAATCATAATTTGAGCTAACTTCTAATACCTAGTACATCTACATGTACAGTCAAACCTGGTTTAGCAACCACCTGTCTACAAAGACCACATCTTTGTTTCCTTGAAAAAGATTTCTCATTGAAACATGTAATAAAGGGTCCTGTACATAAAGAGCACCTGTCTGTAAAGACCACTTTTCTTGTCTCCCGTGGGTGGTCTTTATAGCCAGGCTTCACTGTACATGTGCATTGATAGGTATTCATTCTAAAGAACAAAACTTCAACATCCTGTTGACTATAATTAATAACAATCATTTTCCAGGCACCTACCACTTAGTTTACACCATGCAGTATTTTGTGGATATACATGTAATACAACATTTTACACCATAGAAATTCCATGACCTTCCATTTTCATTTGCATAACAATTGAATATCGATTTAGGAGCCACATTTTAGATCGCATGTCCCAACACAACCTTTGTCAAAAACACAATGCTGGTATTTGATACATGTCCATCATCTGGATTCTGGATTATATTGCTAATTTGATAATTAGTCCTTCAGTCCACTAATAAATATATTGTGAGATGTATAATGTGTACAAAGAAAGATTTTTCACAGTTTCAGGGGCAAGGATCCTAAAGCTATTTCACTTGGACCAACGAGAGAAACTGTAATCTTCTAATGTTCAGTTGACACATTCTAATCAGAGTTAAAGATAAAGACAAGTTATTGTCATGCGATTACATTGTGAAAGAAACGTTGTGGAATCGATCAGAAAAGGTTGATCATCTAGCATATAAGTATTGGTGTGTACTACAAGGTTCTGGAAAGACTGGAATCATCAAAATGATAAGAAATTTGGCCCAGTCTTCGTAAAGTTACAAGCACATGCGTTTATCTCTCACACACCAATAGATAAACTAATTTACCAAATATATCAATTAGTATGTGGTTTCCCGGCAAAATTGTTATCATCATGTATTAGTCAAAACATATTCTTTCACATGATTGGTAATAAGAGCTTCCATTTCATTTTTTGAAATTGGGGCATTTCCAATACTGGTCTTTACCTTTAAGGATCATTTCAAGAGCAGAGTTGATATTGGGATAACAAATATTCAAAATCTCCTTAATTTGTACAAGGGACTTATATTCCCCTGCTCAATTATAACTGCCAACATATTAAGGTGTGACTCTATCATTCCTTGCCGTTAGTCATATCTGTCGTTTTGCCTCCTACGGTTTACACCCACATTGCATACTGCACGGTAAACAATGAAATATTAATCATGCCGTTACCTGGGTAGCGGGTTTGTTTACATTAAAGTTCAGTGGTAGAATTATTCCATTCATCAAGTATCTTTTATTGCATATTGTTACAGGTATGTTTGTCAATACCATGGATTTATTTCATGCATCTGTCACTGTTTGTGATAAACTCTTTCATATTGTTTTTGTAAGGCTGTTGTTAATAAGTCTATTTTACCCATGTAGGACGAAGTATCATTAGTATGAATAAATTACATGCTGCTCTGTCAGGCAAATCTTGGCCAAGTTTTAGTCTTGAACTGAACAAACTTTCCTGGAAGGAGTTCAAAAACATGAAATATCTCAGTTATCCCTGTCCCAAAAGTTAGAGGCCAACTCAAATGGGACGATTGCCCAAAGATATCACTGGGCTCCGAATCCTGTAGGCTAATTCAACAATAAGAATGTCAACTTCAAATATTACCTCTATTTATAGATATTGCAAGTTCAAATACAGGTCTATTTGTTTCTTAAATACATGCACAGCTATTTTTTTTCTTCAATTGTCCTTATCACTAGCTTGAAAGACATCCCGAGTCAATTATTGATATCATTAATTCATGTTTCAACTGGTTTGCACCTTATATATTTTTGCATTTTTTGTTCCTTATTTCAAGCTCCTTTTAGTCAAAGAATACTAATGAATTGATCATATGATAACACCTCATTAATCATTATGTCTTTATCCTTGTAATCTTTAACCATATCATAATGTCACTGCACCTTTGAGATTACAGAAAAATTGCAGCCCATTTGACAAGTTAAAATGATGATCGGATACATAACACTGAATTCCGGCTACGGATCAGGAAATGAAAATATTTATTGTGCAGTTCCTCAAAAATGTGTGTTAAATATCCTACTTCTTGTTATTCCATCCACACATTTAGTTGACTTTGAATTTGGTAAGGTGAATCATTTAAAAGAGTCATTCCGGAATCTTCTTTGGTGTTAATCAATTTCTGGCAGGAGTTCGGGTCATTCAAACTCTAAGATACAGAGGTACCATAAAAATTGTTCAATCATTTTCCTGTCAGATTTTCATACATTCGTACATTAATGATCTTCATATATTAAACAATGTACTTTTATCTAACTTTATTGGTAGTGAAGAGAGAGAGAGAGAGAAAGAGAGAGAGAGAGAGAGAGAGAGAGAGAGAGAGAGAGAAGAAAGAGAGAGAGAGAGAGAGAGAGAGAGAGAGAGAGAGAGAGAGAGAGAGAGAGAGAGAGGTACAGAAATGCCTATTGTTAATAACAAATATGGGATGTAGTACAACTGAAGAACTAAGACTCTTCTGTTATTTAAAGCAATACGAAAATGCAAAACTTATATTTTGTAACTGAAATGGTGTTTTGATATCAACATTTTTTCTCAAATCTCATAACCATTTAACACTACTTGTGTATCAAAGTTGAACAAAATGTTTCCTAAACATCTTTCAAGTAAGAAAATCCATTGGTTTAAACATTAAATCTCTGTCCTTCAAACAAGGCAATCCACATTACTGACCCAAATATTTGATGCAAATCAGAGTGTTGCAAGGATACGACATATATTGAGGTCTAGATGGAAACCAAGAATCATCTTCTTGTATTATTGTGCGCTCGTGTGTGAGTCATTTCAAGCATCTTAACATCTGATACCTCATTTACATTGCAGGCCAAATCACGGTTGCATTGCATTGGATATATACATGTATTATACATTACACTATGCATAGTGAAACTCTTTGCGGGTTGTGTTCACACTGGATGGGTCAGAAAATGTCCTTCCCATCAACCAGCATTCAATCTTCAGTCTCATGACATCAACATAGATAATAATTAAAAGTTTGTCTACCCGTGGAAGCTTAATCAGCTTCAATGCTGTTCTTTCTGAGGGCCCTGCAATGACTATTAGTTACCCTAGCAATTGCCAGGTACCCGTTTACACCTGGGTGGAGAGTGGCAAATATGGATGCATGTCTCATCAAAGGATATTAGTGCCAGGCTGAGATTCGAACCCTCAACCCTTGAACTGAGGGTCAAGTGAATGAACCACTACACCACGACACCTCCACCACCAATGTACAATGTATAAAGCTACGTACAGCAAGAATTACTTTTGGGTTTTAAAATACATTGTAGTTTCACTGGAGCATCCCTGGGCTGAGGTTCGATCCCTCAACCCTTGAACTAAAGGGGTCAAGTGAACAAACCACCAATATTTAAGGCTCACATAAAATAAGAATCCCTTTCATATAATATAGCAGTTACACTGGAGCATCATGGTATAGCAGGCAGTTCATTTTACTCTTAATCAAAAGGTTCAGGGTTTGAATCTATGCCCAGTGCCAAGGTCCTCAGACAAGGCATTTTATTGAAGCTGCCTCTCTCCACCCTGGTGTTGAATCAATACCTGGAAGGATTTTACTTCCTGAAAAACATTTGATAATTGGTATCGGAGCTAAATCTAGTATCGGGTGATAATGTCCAACCCCTCCAGAAGCTCAAAACATTATATCACAATATGATAACTACTTCACAAACATAGCTACTATTATTCTCATTATAATTAATTGAATTCTATTCAAGCTTTAAATTACTTACTTTTTGAAGACCTCTTGCAAGTCTGGACGGCGTGTGATGATGCGATAGAATTCTACAAATTCATCCTCGCTGAGAGCATCACTCCTCACTTTTCCTTTCTTTGTGGTAGTTGAATGTGTGTTTGCAAACTGAAATACAAAGATGAAACCAAACTTAACCAATTATATCAGATAAATTCCCTCTTCTCATTCCCAAAAGATCAGTAAATTCCTGTTTAATACTATAAAGTACAAGATGACTCAGTTGGACTCTACTACACATGCATATTATAAGTACATTGCATCAAATCAAACAGATTATAGAAAAAGTTAGAAAAAGTTAAAGCCAGGAAAATTGCCACAGTGACACCTTATTCAACTTCATATTCCACTTGTAACAGTTTATTTGTGTCTTTTTACATTTATTTTTATTGACTGTATTGAATTGACTCTGGTTTATTGCGAGGTAGTTAACCCAATTTAATTCCATCATAATAAAAACATAAAGATACAAAAGTGATCATGATAACATCATACCTCAGTTGTTCTTATAGTCTTAAGAATATTAAATATGAGAAGTACCTGTAAGTTATGAATCAAGGTAATTTAGGTTATATCAATGAGTAGTCCAGAGTATATACAGTACAAATCCATTTGAGCATGTTTAGGAATTCAGTTGTTGTGATGAATCTACATGTATATGTGTAATACAATATTATTGCAAATTAAAACACCATTTAAGGTCCAATAGACTGACTTTAAAAAGGAGGCGCAGTTATTGACACTTTGATTGCTTTTTTGCTTATCTGCACAGTCGATCGTTTGCTAAACGTGCAATTTTGCACAAAACAATAGGCACCAATTGACGGGAGGATTGCTTTGTGCAACATAATACTTTGCATAATTTACATAATACAAAATACCAATTTCTAGTCTTGATTAGCTCCATAACAACCCTTTTAACACTGGTGTAGATTAATGTAACCATGGAAACATTTAAATAATCTTGAAGCTTTTGGTATATTTTATCCCATGAGTGTCAAGGGAGGTTATCTGTGTGGCATACAGCATAAAGAGTTAATTGAATTGAATACATGTACAGTACATGTCATTAGAACAAAACCGGGATCACAGTGATAGGTGGTTAAGGAGAAGAATCAATATTACTATAATGATTTTAGAGAGGTGACAGGGAAGATAGGAGAGTAGGAATGTAGAAGAGAAATAGAAAGACAGTTAGGAAGACAATAGACCACCTTCACCATTATTCATGAGAAATAAATTGGAAATTTTAGCCATGTTAAGACGAGGCTCCCTAGTCGGTGTTAGTTTTTCCCACGGTCAACTTTAATATGCTTCCCTATAGTCGTGGAAAATCCAGGAGTAAATCGGTCGGCGTAAAGGTTGACATAGCTAACACGACTATTGTTCAGACGGTCACTACGCCGACCTCTACACCGACCTTACCTTACTAATGCTGACTAGCTCTTAACACGACCTTTACGCAACCAAAATTGCCATGGTGTGTTAATGAATGATAAAAAGTAGTAGCAACAGATTGATACCTTATAATCACACAAGAATAATTGATACTTACTTAATACAGCTTATTCTTATGTAGAAAAAATGCATGCAAAATACATTATTTAAAGCGAGATTTAATTAAAAGCACACTGGTCCTTTTTGGGCAACCTTAAAATATGACATATAGGAATATTCCACGAGAGATACATGAAACAAAAGATATCAAGCAGAATTAAAATGTTATAAATAAGCATGAAATGAAGCACCCTAGCAGAAATTGTCAATAGGATACAGAGAAACGGTTGCAGTGACCACCTGAATAGAATGACCACCTAACTATGAAAAACATATTTTCTGTTTCTTCTGAACAGTGTTTCTCATTGTAACTTGTACTGGAGTAACCTTTACACAAAGACCACTTGCTCATAAGACTCATGTTTTGTCTCCCTTGAGTGGTCTTTATAATTATACAGGTTTGAGTGGTATTGAGTGGTCATTGTATACAGGTTTGAGTGGTAATGAGCAATCTTTATGTAAAGGTTTGAGTGTTTTTATAATTATACGTGTACCGCTTTGAGAGGTAATTTGCGGTCTTTACGCACAGGTTACATTATACCAGCATGAAACCCCAAACATTCTGAACAACTGTTGCAAATTGGGCCCCTTCAACACAAAAAGAGTCCCTCCAAAAAGCATACTTGTGTTGCCATGGAAACAACATCACCCATTCTCCATTTGAGTGATTATTGTGACATAAAATTATGAAAAATGCACAATCTGTCTGATCCATGCACGCAATGATTCGGATCATCCCATCTCAAAACAACAGACCACTCAGTTTTTTTTGCATAAATAGTAATAATGCTATCTCATTTTTGCTTCTAAAGTGAAAGTGATTATAAAGCGGCAAACACAATGAAACTTCAAAAAATGTAATTTCCTAAATTGGGTTGATGATGACGTACAGAGTATCAAAGGTAATTGGAAATTCTATGAACTATGCATGCAAATGGAACCGGTTACTCTTTCCGATAGAGATGGGGGAATGGAAGTTTCATGATTCAATTACCCAACCTGATACACATAAGTGCCTTTGTCTGGTCAGATTTTGGTTAATTGCATGGTAAGTGGTATTAAAATACATATGATGCAGATAGAAGTACATGATTGTGCATTTCTGATGCTGTCTAAAATTTGGGTTTACATTCTCATTTTTTTAAATAGCAGAAATGTGGTAAATCATGATCAAATCGTGGCATTGAGGCTATGCATATGATCTGATGTCATTGCCGTATGCCGTAAGTAAGTAGTACTGAAATTACTTTTCTACTTGAAATTTCACAAACAAAAGGCTGGAGCCTTTACATGTATATCTCAATCACACCACCAAACAGACTTCAAACCGACTCCAAACCGACCAATTTTGGGCCTTGGACGTAATGTTTTTGTTTGGTCTGTTGTCGGTCTGGTGTCGATCTTGTTGATGTGGCTAAGGTATAAAGGAATCAGTTGTATTGAATTGATTTACGGTTTAATTGTAGCTCCTCTTGAACAATTACTGAAAGAAAAACTGGTCCACACAGAGACATTGAACAAGAACATGTACTGTACAACTAAAAAAGATAATTGATGTCTATCACTATTAAAAGATTTGTACCTGGAATAATCTCTTGGCGTGAACCTTCTCGATCTTGATGTTGAGCTTCTTGAGGAGTTTGTAGGACTCATCAAAGTCCACTGTTCCATCTCGATCAACGTCCGCCTGTCTAAAAGCATCCATGATCCATCTGAGAGAGTGGGAGGTCAAGGGTTAAGGACAACACATACGAGTATGGACATTACACCTGAACCACCTTCAGCTTGATTTCATGTTTGGAGCCAAAGGGCATCAAATCTGGACCCCTTCAACTTGATATCTTCTGTTTGGAGCCAGAAGGGCATTAACAGAGCTGCCAACCTTTGGAAGTACAAATTAGTACTCAGCAGCACCTCCAAAATTAGTATTTTATCATCAAAATTAGTATTTTTCGACCGGCCTTCCTTTTACCTATTAAAAACCTATTGATGTCGTAACGCAGCGCAAATGCATACCGTAAAGACCATATTTTTGCTGTAATTAGTTTTTTTTAAACATATTCAATCGTACATGTTGGCCGGGCCAGTAAAATTTCAAAAAAATGTGATACTGGTACGTACAGTCAATTAAAATGTTTGCTCTTTCATTCAAATTTTAAAAGAAAATTGTCAATCAAAGTTTTTGTTGGGGTTGTGGGGGTTTACTTGTACATGTTTCTATGGGATTCTGTGGTTTTTATGGGTATAAAAAAAAAAGTAATTTTTTTTGTTTTGTTTTTTTGTTGTTTTTTTGGTGAAAAAACGTATTTTAAAAGGTGATATCGTATTAACGTATTCCACTCTTATTATCGTACTAAATATGATTAAATCGTAATGGTTGGCACCTCTGCATTAAGTCTAGACCCCCTTTAACATGATATCATCTGCGATATCAAGACATGGCCATCAAAGACAATTATTTATCTGGCTTCATCACTATGGCAGTTAATGTAGACCTACATTGAAGGCCTTTGAATACTTTTTTTTCATGTACACACTGTGTTAATGATATTATTGAAGGATATTACTGAAGATTATTTAGATATTCATTACATTAATGATATTTTTGTACAGAGTCCAGACCAGAGTCTCACATTTTGTTACGAAATGTGGTATAGGACGTACAAACACTGACATTCTTATACCAGAGACTCTTTTCAATTCCGCTATTGGTCTGTAGTCTGTACTCACTGTTTTCATGGTTTTCTCTTTGCCAAATGATAATTCATTTTCTCATTTTTGTCTGAGCACTTCCCCATAAAAATAGAAATGATAATCTATACCACTTATCTACACCACAGCGATCGCCACTTCAGCCACTGAGAAATAAAAACAAATTAGATGCCAATGATAACATCTCTAGAGGAAACGAGACTACTTACATCCCCTAATTACTTCCAAATTTAATGACTATTAACACTTAATAAGCAACATAAAATATGTGACTCAAGTCATTCAGGTTTTCTTTCCTTCTCTTCTCATCATTCACAATTTCCTCTTTAAATATTATTTTTCTCCTTTTACTTTTCCTTCAAGTAAATATGTTTTCAACACAATATGTCTCCCATTCTACATGTACCTTGCAATCAACTATGTCTTCTCATTCTTCATTTTCATGTCACCTCACCCCCCCCCCCCCCCCTCCTCCCTTTCCAGTGACAACAAAAAAGCAATATAAATCTGTAAAAGTCTCTGAAATCAATCAGGAAAACTAAATCAGAGCTTGGATACTTATCTGGAAAAATTAGATGGGACTACAATTGGTGATTTTAGCTCTGAAAAAGCTCAGACGAGCCCTTAAAAGAATTTGACTGGAATGGTGAGCAATTTACATGCAGCTCTGAAAAGCCGGAAGAGAGCTCCAGAAAACCCAATCAGAGCTTTGATACTGCTCTCATAAAAATTGAATTAAACAAAAATAGCATTCCCTTTTTTTATGAAGTTCTTTTTGTACTAATTCTAAAAAGATTCTCTTTGTAGTACTAGCTCACCCTTTTAAGGGTAAGGGTACATGTATACTGTAATACTTTCCTACAGATCAATGTACTATTCATTACATACTATTCATACTATTCATGTATCTATTTATTTCCAATCCTCCATGTTGGACGCTATTTCCGTTACCATAAAGCACCTTTTCCTTTCCCCCATTGATTGCGCTTCATATTGCCTTATATGGTCATGACCTCTTTGATACATTTGCCTTGCTTCCTCTATAACCTTGTATACCCTCAAAGTGGCTAAATATGAGCAAACCCAAACCCCAGTTCAGACTACCAAAAATCATTGTATACATGTAGCTACACACACACATGCAACGGATACAGAGTATCCTTTTTTTAAATCTAGTCTGAACATCCTGTAATGAAAAGTTGGAAAGGGACACACCTGTTTGAACATTATTTGGAACAAATATTCATTAATGAATTTGGAGTCCTGCACTCGTCTGTACAAAACCGCATGACTGGGTGGGGCTTATCATGTGTGCACTACACTGCTGGTCGGCTAGCTATCAGCTCAACTATTAAGACCCATTCAACTAACTCAACAAACTCTTCAAAAATACATGTCGTTTCTTTATAAGACATGTTTTTAAATGTTGTTATCAAGTGTACACGCCCCTTTTGTTACATGGTGAATCTCTATGTGTGTACATTTCTTTAAACAAGTTTTGCATACCGGTACATTTTTTCTAGTCTGAACTGGCCAAAAGACCTTCTTTCTGTGGTCATGCCTCTATCGGGAGGAACTCCCCATTTCCCTTCGGGTTCAACATGTACAGAAAAGCACCCCTTGCTGTCATGGCGACTGTGTTCTGACAACAACTTTCGGCAGGCCCCAGATCTGAGTCATCACCAAACGTTTCTTCTACCCACTTGTTTGCGGCTTTCACCAAACTGTTAATGTGCCAATAAGACTTGAAAATAGTGAGTTTGTATTCACCAATGCATTGAAATGTATCCCTTCGTGTACATGTACAAGTTACTAAACTTAATAAACACGGACGCAAATAAATTTGTTGGTGTAATTACAGTTTAAACAAAAGTATAACGCATCCCTAATATAAAGGATGTGGTATACTTTTGGGAAGCAACTAAAAAACAAACAAAGACAACCCCCCCCCCCACACACACACACACACACTCTCAAGTTTAATATAATTAAAAATCCATATATAGCTGCAAATAACATATTATTGTAAAGTTTAAAGAGTCATCTGTCCCTACTTATAGCCTAATTGTACTGTACAGTGTAGGTGGGTTAAGGCATGCATGAAGAAAATAACCTGCTTTAAAAATAGCGATAAGCTCTAACTCTCAAATTCATGCAATGTAAACTAATGGCATGGACACTGCACAAACAGTTTGCTGTACAATAGGGATGGGAGCTTTAATACTTATTTACAAAAGCACAGCAGTTTCATACATGTATGAGGCAAGGTAGGATTAATAATAACCTCTATAATAAACGATGCATGTGATTTGCAATAGATATGATCCTTGAACCCCAACACGCACAGTGAAGGCATGAATCGAATAATATCTGCAATTAAAACAACCATACAAATGTACATGGAAGTGATAGGCTAGCTGTACAGCTGATGAGTAATGGAAATGGGGGACAAAGAGGGAGGGGGGGGGGTATAAAGGACATTCTGAAGCCCTAATCCTGCATTTTTCCTGGAACTGACAAATAAATAGCCTCGTAATAACAAAATCTGCCACTTAAAAATATAAACTGTAAACAGTCAACATAAAACTTAGCTCTAAACAGAGATAAAGTCCCACACACAAAAAAAAAGCAGGAAAAAAAATCTGAGATAATTATACCAAGCCTATGAACGCAGTGTATCACCTGTTTCTGCAACCGTGACTAAGTGTTCTGCTATGAGTATTAAACATCTGTTTATATTCTAAATGTACATGTATCTCGGCCTTTAATCATTTCAATGTATGGTTCGATCTGCTGCCTACATGTACTTTGTAAATTCCATCAAAGTCGTCCCATTGTCATTGGTATTACAGACAAAACAAATTCTGCAAATTTATGAAGCATATCACCACTCATCTTGGCATACTTTACATGGGGATCGGGTTCAAGAAATCTTTAATGCTATTTGTATAGCAAGTAATGCCCTTGTTGGTGTGTTTTACGATATCTATACAATGATAAAAGGCTAACACAAACCAATCGTCTTGATAATACTCCCACGTGTAAAGAAATGTGTATTTGTTTAAACTGTTGCCTTTATGAAGAATGTGTTTGCATTGATTCCTAGGAGTAGGATAGAAGGGTGAACTAAATGCAGATGTGGCCCAGTGGTTTGCGCAGGAGATGCAGGACCTACAGATCCAAGGTTCAAAGGGCAACTCGTGGAGAGTGAATCAAAGATTCCAAACTAACGCACAAATGCAGTTTAGGACACCAGTGTCTTTTGGTAAATCATAAATCCTCTTCAAGCCACTTTCATTGTACAGGATCTCTAGTATTAGTCCTTGGTCTAGTATTTTGTGCCTGTTTTCTTTGAATAGTACCTAGTACAATATAGGTATGGGTTATTAATCTCCATGTACTTCTTCTAGCAATCAACTTGTGTATCCACCCATCAATGTTAATGAATTAACCAATCACTCAGAATGAGCCAACTATTAGTCAACCAACAGAACAATCGATCTCATTAATCAACCAACTCATCAATCAACAATAAGTCGAGCAACAACCTATCCAAGCAACCAATCATGTTATCAACCACTCAATTGATTAATCAGCAAATTGATCAATCAACCAATCCCTCGACAGAGAAATCAGTCACTCGGCCAATCAATTTATCCAGTCATCTCGTAATTTGTACATTTGCTTCTGCAACATTCATTTAAGGACTTCATTATAGATAAAGGTTTAGGGCTGCAACTGGATTAAAGGTTAGGTTTAGGGTTAGACTGAGTATTTGAGTTAGGGTAAGGTTTAGGAATAGAGCTGGATCCAGGGTTTAATTTGAGAATTTGATTAGTGTCAGAAATTGAACGTGGAGAATTGTAGAACCATTAAAGCCTGTCTGTACTAGTTTTACCAGGGGGATTAGACCACCCTGCAAGGTCACTGACTGGTGGTTATCTCATCAAATCAGCTCTCAATTAACATAAGAAAAAGGGGATCATGGGGGACCAACATGCACTGATAGGGCATTGTTTGCTATATTATAGAGGGCGCAAGTAGCTATAAGTAGTACAGTGGGGCTTTAATCATCTCATCAATTGGTAGTTTTCAAAGGATACGCAGCCTGCTTGGAGTGGATGTCGATATGCTGCGACTTCTTCTTCAGCCATCGCAGTCCCATGACCCATGTCCTGGCTTCATCTTGAGAGGGCGCTACAAGGTTGACGGTGTGATTTTCGTTGCCGACGATGAGAGAAAAAGAGCGTTCTTTGGGGTACTTCTTCTTGTTCTTAGAGATGCGGAATGTGTCTGTCTCGTGTCCGCTGCGTATCTCATGGATCTCCGAAAGGGACACTGTAACCAAGAAATAAACAGATAAAAATATATTAATTCATGCATGACGTCTACCTGTACGTGTACTATACATGCAGGACATCCCGGTAGACTGAAAGACCATTAGACCAGGGACCTATAAGGCCGACCTCCCATAATTCCAGGAGCCTATGAGGCCGACAGCCCAAGGGATGACAATGCCGATCTCGTGATGCCTTAGAAATTTGACAAAAGGTCCATGGAACCGACATGTCACTCTCAAGAACCCTCAGAATTCAGAAGGCATGCATGACCAACATTGTTGGTTTTAGTGTTTGGCCTTAAGCAATTGAACTATCCATATATTGTTTATTTTCATGTACATACGGTACATGTACATGTACATGTATGTCATTAACTTGTTATTTGTTAAAAATGTCACAATGAGTTACAACATTTATACCCTTACAGTGAGTATTTTTCAATATGTGTTTTGATGAAAACACTTGAATTGTTCATATAATGCCCAAGCAGCTACATTATATTGTACTATTATTTTGGGTGATAAACAAAAAGTAGAGTTACACTGCACATGTACATATAAACATAAATTAGACTGTGCCATATGAACGCAGATCAATAAAAACCTGTCAATATTGTGCCTGCCTATTCATCACCTGCTGAGCATTGAGCAACAGACAATAATTCATGAAATTAAAAGGCAAATTGACTAAAATCCCTTCATTGGATAGCCGAACACAATGTAAATTGTAGTGGTGCTCTTTCATTTCAATTGCCTAATGCCAATCATCCTATATGTTACATACAGTTGTACATGTAGAATCTCTTATACTGGTAATTAAATTAAAGAGACAAAATATACATGCAGCTACATGTACATGTACATGTAGGATCTGAAAACCCATACTGCAAAACCAGAAAAATTTGCAATATGAACTTTTCATGACTTCTTAACAAAAGCCATTTTTCAGCAAACAATTTTTGAGGAGTAAAAACAAATATTTATCAACTTTGCTGCATGAAACTACATGAAAGTTTCAAAAGGTTTTAAAAATAGCACACACAAATACAAACAGTGTACAGTCATATCGTTTGAAGTTGAATGTACATGTAAACACATGAAGGTTTTCCTATACATGTAATGTACATGTACATGTACATTTACATTGTACACTGTACATGTAGGCATATTTGTATGACATTCAGGGGATCTGGTACAGTTCTGCCCATACACGGTGCATATTGGCATACACATGTTTTCCAGGTACACGCCCATCCAACTTGAGTGGGTGGAGTGTACTATGGATCATCGCACTCAGGAATGGACTTGATAATATTTAAATTGTAAAGGAGATTTGGGCTGGGATAATAGAGTAACAACATCAAATTATTAAACAGTGTATGCTGATTACAGAGTTGTGTGGGAGTGACACGGGAATTACATGTAGTCTGCTGGCACAAACTCTAATACTTCAACATGATTTTTCATTAGGCCATATAACAAAAATGAAGTGTTTCTCGTCCCGGCCCGCCTCCTTTTTAGGCTGCCACCTCCTTTTTTTTTTTTTTACTGTTTTTACTATTCAGAAAGAAAAAAAAAATCCTCCCCCCCCAAAAAAAAAATACCGGTAAATAAATACATAAAATAAAATAAAACATGTGTACATGTGTAATCAAGGTTTCTTTGAGTCTCAGTACATCATTTTCATTCACTACAGTGTTACACAAAGTATGTGTCAAAAGGAACTGAACATTACCCCTCCCCCCCCCCCCCCCCCCCCCCAAAAAAAAAAAAAAAAAAAAAAATTGGGGAAAATTTGGAAAATTGAGGGATAAATCAAGTAAATAGGGGTAAAATCTGTAATATAGGGGTAAAATGGGGGGGGGGGGGGGATTCAGGGGAAAAAATAATTTTTAAAAAAATAGGGAAAAAAAATATCAGGAAACCGTTTTAAATCAGGTAATTATCAGGCCTGCTGTGTACATGCATACTGTATACATTGTAGATTTGGTAAATTTTTTTCTTCCACAATTTAGAAACATTTAAAACACTTTACTTCACTTTATTTCAAACAAGTCACATCTTTGAATACATGTACAGTACATGTATGTACTTGAGTAAACAAGAAAAGAAAACAAAAACTTTGGAATCTAAGGAATGTTATCTGCCAAGCCTCTTTTATCATTCACGCCCAGACAATATTATTTGTCTTCTAAAGTCTAAACACCACTGAAAGATTATGACCTTGTTCTGATAATCTGATTACCTTTAATTAAGTTTTTAAAATTATTCAAAAAACTAACAGGAACGTTGATTTGGTCTTGAGAAACAGGAAATAATTAAGCTTGATATTGCCCCATTACAGTTTTGAGAATATTGCGGGGGGGGGGGGGGGGGGGGGGGGGGGGGGGGGGGGGGGGGTAGTAGGAATGTCATTATAGAACAATACTCTCTACACCTCCATGAACATATACATGTACACAGTAAATTAAAACTGAAAAGTTTTAAGCGTGTGCATCTGGCCTACCATAGGTTATAAACTTGCGTGTGGCAGTTATTGTAGAAAAAAAGCAAATGTGTATTTTTTATATGATATTAATATTATTTTCTTTTTTTCTTCAAGAAAATTCAAGAGTGGACTATATATAATGTAAATTATTTATGTCCTCTCATATAGTATAACATCGATAGAATTAATAATACAAGAACTTGCACATAGCATACTTTTCCTTCTTGGTTTGTGTGATGCCCAAGCATGTACAATGTATGCTAGACAGACTCTACTCAATTTAAACATTAAAATAAATTATATTGGAAATGTATTTTATTAAACATAAAGACTTACATGTGCATGCGTACAATCAGTGGGACAATTTGTTAAACAAAAAGCTGAAATCCAAGGATGTACATACATGTGGATTAAATATGGTACACGGATGAAGTGACATTCTTTGCATACCTTAAATGTTGCTAATTAAAGATTACAGCCATGATAAGGGCTGGTCGTTTGGTGACTAATGACCGACCACTCCCATTGAATTAGTCCAGAGTGCAGTACACATACATGTACATGTATGAAATGTACCGGTATTCATGACTATTAATGAAATACCTACAGGACATTAACATGATTGCATACTTTGTCACGGGCATTGAAATGTACAGTTTTTAAAAAGAATTTGTTTGTAAACCTGAATATCCATCAAAAAATCGGTATGACCAAGACAAAGTCTACATTTCAAAGTGTACAGATCAACTTTTATTGCAATCATATTGAGAGAACTGTCATTGAAATGAAGTATTGTAATTCATATTTTCCTTTTTTTAATACCATATGGCAACCAAAAAATTACTTTTTTTTTATGAGGGCACTTTTCAGATTTTCCCTTAAAAAAATAGCCCCTTAATTATTTTGCGGTAGCTATTTTTGAGCTCAGGGGAGCTTGTTTTTTCAAGGTTGTATTTTTTAAAATGCGGTTTTACCCACTTAAATTCCAAGCAAAGGCAAATACACATACAATTGTAGCCTACATATGTCATGTAGAGCATTGCAGACATTCAGATACCCATGATTTATTCACTTTGTGTTAAATGCGTGGCTTACTATACGATTTACATATACTGTACATGTAACTAAAACTTGTCAAAAGGAGTGTTTTGTTCAACTGTTCGTTTTTCATATCCTAAGAAAATATTATCACTGACACGCAGGCTAGGAATTATTTTTTTTAATAGGGGCTACAGCTTTTCCCCATTGCCTAAAAAAAACCAAGAGGCTACTTTAAGAAAAGTGGGAGCTACTTTTGATAAAAAAGAGGCTACTTTCTTAAAGCCAAATTGTAAGCTGTAACAATAGCCATCATACTACTAGCAACCAAATAGGTAGGTAATATGTTATTTAGTCCTTTTTTTCTGTCCAGACACCAGAACATGCAATCCCATTTAAAAAAAAATTAAACTCTGTTTAAAATTGTGTTATTTATAACATTTATAACCATTAAATGTGAGTTAATATTTTTACTGTAGTCCCACATACCGACGTATTTGTTATAACGAAACATGCAAAATCGTGGTCATATTTTTCTTTATAGACCCTAATTCTAAAGGCCAAGCCAAACTAGTTTCATTTCGTAGACAGAAATTGATGCCATCACTCATGACAATTATGAGCCTGGCATCGATTGTATATAAATAATATAATTTAATTAAACAGTTCTAAGAAAAATTCTGAGGTATAGGAACATCATTTATATATTTATTTATGGGTTTTTTATAACAAAATTCAATATCTGTCTACGAAACTAGCTTTCTACCGATTTTACACGGAAAAAATCCGGCATTGATTTTGCACGTTTCGTTATAACAAATATATCGGTATGTGGGACAACAGTAAAAATTATACTAGCATTTAATGGTTTTAACTTATAAATAACACAATTTAAGACGAAATAACATTTTTTTTAATGGGATTGCATTGTCCATGATAAAAATTTGGGTCAGAAAAAAAGACTAAATAAACATATTAAGTACCAATTTGGTCGCTAGCAGTTCAGTACTCGTCACTCGCAAATACTTATTTGCTTCATAATAGGAGCGTGCGGGTGCGCGCTGGAGCTGAGCTAGATTCTGTGTATTGTGAATGTGTGCGAACTGCGTGTGCACGAAACTACTATGTGCTCCGTATTTCCATCGGGGGCGGGGGCCTGGCCGGCCAGGAGCTTAGGCGGATACCGCTGTAGAATTACTGTAGGTACGACCGCCGATCCGCTGCAATCACAAAACTTTTAAAATGTCGATGGAAGTTTCTAGTTTTGGAGTTGGTAGTTGGACACTCAGACACATCAATAAATTGATTTATTAATTCCTAGGGGATATCAATTCATGGCGGGGGCGATTTTTCAATATATATTGATTTTTTTTTGCCCTCGTCTTGATTTTTACTGTGGCGATTTCAGAGGTTTAGGGGGCGAATCGCCCGTCGCCACCGTGTATTTTTTTCGTTGCCATATGGTACATCATAATTTCATATGGTATTGCAATTTACAACATCAACACCAAAAAAAGAAAAAAAATTGATGAGGGAATTTTTTTCTCTTATGCGGTATACAGTGTACATGTACTATTGTTGGACTCTGAATAAAAAGTTTAATAGCAAAACCACAGAATGTGGTGGGAAATTGTCCAGAATGGGTTAACCCCTTTCATGCCATGAGTGACAAATCCTGCCCAAGAGTTTGCAAGTTGAAAAGTGTGTTTGCATTTAGAAAGTCAAATGCCCTGCTTCACCTCCAGAGACAGTATATAATACTGTACCTAACCCTAAATCCAAAACCCAATTGCAACCCTAACCCCATAGATAGATGAAATGAAACTTGAGCAAAAGTTGTTGAAGTACAAGAGGCCAGAGCCTCGTCTGATCATCTTTAACCCACTGACTACTGGATTCTCTCATTCCCATAGACTATATACAGGGACCATCTGGTTCCCTGAGGCGATGGGTTAAAGCCACTCTGTACTACTTGTAGCTACATGTACTTGCTCCCTCTATATAGAAAACAATGCCTAATCGGTAACCAGTGGTCCCCCATGATCCTCTTTTTCTTATGTGTTTAATTGAGAGCTGAGTTGATGAGATAGCCACCTGTCAATGACCTTCCTGGGTGGTCTAATCTCTCCTGGCCAATCTAGTACAGATGGGCTTTAAGATATTATACTGACCTGTTGCTTTGCTGGAGGACTTCTTTGATGGGGTATACATGAGAGCAGTACCATCATCAGTCAGAGAGAAGGTCCTGCCGTGCTTCTTGGTGCTGTTCGGAGATATCTTGGTGAACTTGGTGCCACGCTTCAGCTTCTGGTGAATCTGTTCAACTGCAGAAGGATAAAAAACATGTGAAACTGCAAAATCATTTATGAACCTTTTCATACTTGTAATTGCTAGTGCTGAAAAATATCTTAGAAACTAGATGGAATTCGACTGCGCGCAGTCGAAAATGATGCCTCCGTTATAGAGCAATTTTACAAACCAAAACAGAAAAAAAAATTTGAATTCACGTTCAATGGTAATCCATTGACAGGTTCTCAGAATATTGTGATTACAAGCAATTTCTCATATACATATATGACCCTTTGATCTTTGACGTCATGACCATAAAATCTACTCAGTTCATTGGCTCTGCAAGATGTTCTGAGTTAAATAGTAATCCATCTGTCAGTTCTAATGAGAATGCGTTCACAAGCTATTTTTGCATACATAATGGGCCCATGACCTTTGACCTTTGACCTTATGAACCAAGAATCTACTCAGTTCATTGGCTCTGCAAGTAACAAACATGACCTAATTTTGGCATGAATCCATCAATCGGTTCTTGAGATAACGCGATCACAAGCTGTTTTTGCATTCATAATGTGCGCTGTGGCCTTTGACCTTTGACCTACGTGCTCTAAAATCTAATCAGATTGTCTTCCTAAGGTGATACACACTATCATTAAGTTTGAAATTTTTACATCTTCCGGGGGTTCTTGAGATATCATGATAACAATCTCAATGTATGGAATTTCATAAGTTGACCTCTGTGACCCTTGACCTTTGACCTACGTGCTCCAAAATCTAATCAGATTGTTTTCCTATAGTGATACACACTATCACTAAGTTTGAAGTTTAAATCTCCAGTGGTTCTTGAGATATCATGATAACAATCTCAATGTATGGAATTTCATAAGTTGACCTCTGTGACCCTTGACCTTTGACATACGTGCTCCAAAATCTAATCAGATTGTTTTCCTTTAGTGATACACACTATCACTAAGTTTGAAGTTTAAATCTCCAGTGGTTCTTGAGATATCATGATAACAATCTCAATGTATGGAATTTCATAAGTTGACCTCTGTGACCCTTGACCTTTGACATACGCGCTCCAAAATCTAATCAGATCGTCTTCCTATGGTGATACATACTATCCTTAAGTTTGAAGTTTAAATCTCAAATGGTTCTTGAGATATCGCGCTAACAAACTCAATACAAGGAATTTCATAAGTTGACCTCTGTGACCTGTGACCTTTGACCTACGTACTCCAAAATCTAATCAGATCGTCTTCCTATGGTGATAAATACTATTCCCGAGTCTTAAGTTTAAATCTTAAATTGTTCTTGAGATATTGTGATAACGGTCAAACGGGACGGACGTACGGACGGACGTACGGACGGACGGACGGACGTACGGACGGACGGACGTACGGACGGACAACCCGAAAACATGATGCCTCCGGCACCACCTTCGGTGGCGGAGGCATAAAAATGTTGTCTACCAAGTACATGTATTGCTCTTCAAATGCCCACATATTTGAAACATGACAACAAAAGCTGAACTGTTTGCCGAAACTTTTATGCCATTTATTTGTGTAGTCCAATATACACATTTCTGTGTACAGTTCATGAACTTGCAGCAAGACTGAGTCGATCTTTCATCATTTTTGATGATTATGAAACCTCATACTAGTACATATTATTTGTGTGTACATGTATTGTTACCTAGGGTCTAATTGACCCTTTCTGGGGGGTGTTTCACAAAGTCTTTTTTCAATGACAAATGACAAAAATCAGTGACAGATCTGCTGATAACCAATCGGGAGCAAGAATTTCACTAGCCTTTAACAAAAAACTGTCATTTGTCACTGATGACAAGTTTTGTGAAACACTTTTCTGGTCACTTCCAGGCAGTTTCTTCACAGTATAATCACATGACCAGAACTGAACTTTAAAGTTTATAACGTCACTACTGATTCTGTTATCATACATGTGATCGTCCACACATGGTTAACAGCCTAACCCCGGGGGGGGGGGGGGGGGGGGTACTCAGATTATAGTCGGACGGGGGTGTGCGGCTGAGACCTCCGAACCCATACCCACATCCAAGGGTCCTTTTGCTGAAATAGGTACCCATGTCTAAGGATTTTTTGTCAAAAATGGACCCATGTCTAAGGATTTCAAACTTCAAATATTACATTTTTTAAGCTGTAATAATACACTCCAGCAAAGCATATATGGAGAGTCAACGCTAATGCATATTGACCCCTAGCACTGCACTACGCATTAATAGGCAGCATTTAAATACATGAATAGTCAATACACTCATAACACAGCGATGCACACAATCATGCCGATGCGGCTGATCGGCAAATTCAACAGTGGACTCACAATTTGATTTTTTAAATTATTCTTTTTAACATCGGAAAGTTAAAAATTGTATATTACTGCTATTTAGATCTTATTGATTGTCACTAAAGTATCGATTTTTAGTGAAATTGGTTGAGTTTTACACAGTGGTGTTTGAAATGTTGAGAATCAATACTAATAGCACAGCTTTTAATACACAGCCAGGATAGTAATGCACCTATGTGTGTAATAATACAATGGTCAATAATTTTGCAGTTTCTCGATAAAGTTCTTTATTAGTAAACTGTACCATACTACATGTAGTTTACAAGTAGTTTACACACATAAAGATGAAAACACCATGCAACATAATAATACTGTGCTAGCACCTCTAGCATCTGTTTTAATTGAAGGACTTTTCCTGTTAACGTACCCATACACGAGCTCTCAAGCATTGGTATTATAGCTCCCTGCTTGAGCCCCGCTGCTGCCCGGCTGCTGGGCAGAGGGTACGCAGGGTATAGCTGCCGATCTTTCAGCGTGCGAAGCGCTACAAGTTTCCGGGGGTACGACCCCTATACGGGCGGATACCATACCTAGCGCGCATTATGCCATATGAGTACCCGGTATAGAGCCCATGGGGTCCTGATATATGTGGTACCCCGGGATCTAGTTCAGTTTACGAGCTACGTACGTACACCCACTGACTTAGAGGTCAGTGCGTACACCTCGTACACTGGAAATGCAATCACCGAAGGGTCCATTTATTTAGAGATGGGAGAGATTTAGGCATTTTCAATGTAGGAGCAAATCCCAAAATCCAGGAGAAAATGAGGGAGAAAAGAGGGGAAAGGAATAAATGAAAAAAGGGACCCATGTCTAAGGATTTTTTTAATGAAAAGGGGACCCATGTCTAAGGATCTTTCCTGAAAAAGTCACCCTTCCGAGCGGCACATCCCCGTATACCCAATATACGTGAGTACCCCCCCCCCCCCCCCCCCCCCCCCCCCCCGGGAGCCTAACTTGCCTTGTTTTCTACACTTCCTGGCAGCTCTTGCCAGGGAAAACAGCTGTCATCAACAATGTGAAAAATGTATTATTCTACACAACTACATGTACATGTAAATCAATCATCCAGTACACTTCAGGTTTACAACTGTCAGGACTTAAACCTAAGTATGGATTCTCCTGACTAGACTTACTGTAAGCCTTCAGTTCCTAATTCCTTCTTAAGTTCTTTGTGTTGAGTTTGCTGGTTCATGACCGAGTGGTCAGGAAAGAGCAACGGATCACATTTGGTTTTAACAGAAGCAGAAAAATAAGAGAAACCATTCAGTGACAGTTTGAACAAAAACAATTAAAAGTAAACAAATTATAAATGAAACACAAATCGGCAACTGCGCGATGTCTCCTGCGAGCTCCTCTCCCATTTGCCCTGGACTAAAAAATTTCAAAAATGTAGTTTTCCATAAAAATAAAAAAAAATCATCTGACCTACATGTACATTCATCCTAAATATAATTGTTGCAAATATATTTTTATACAAACCTCGTACAAAATAAAACTATTCCATCATCAATAACTAAGAAAATTAAAATTCATTCAATTATCTTTACAGATGCCAACTTTTTTTTAATCCGATATTGCTCAAACTTTCAAAAATTGTTTCTCTTATTTTACTGCTTTTACATGTATTAACAACCAACTTAATATCTGGATGGATTTCCACTTCAATAGTAGATCTAGACTATCTATTATAAAAAAAAAAATTAATTCAAGGATAAGAATTATTCAAGCTGTAGTCGATTACAGGCATGAGATCGAGATGCAACGCCGCGCCGAGTACCATGAACTCAGATAACGGGATAACAACAAGCGAATCGCCGACCGCGCCCCCTACTTTGTTGTAGCAGCTACCGTATACATCCGCTACCTAGCCTTACCGACCCGCCAAAAATAAAAACTTTCACTCTAGTCTACTCAACATCATCGTTTTTCATGCCAGTAATATACAAATCATACCTTGTCCTGGATTCTCTCCCATCTTGAAAACACACTAAACCACACTCTGGGTGAAAATATGTTCTTTACACTGATCAAAAAGTGTAGTAAAGTGGAGGGCAACAGGGACTCAGGAGCCAAATTTATATCGGCCGCTCTATCTTCTCTCCAGCTCTCGCTCTCAGTGACGTGAATAATGCAAAGTCTAATGCATTGCATTTACACACACGGCGCGCACATAGTACATACATGCACACGAAGTACGTAAGGCACATGCACTGTATATGTACGCTATAACGTGGGCGTGGATGCATGTCCGATCGAACAAGATTATAGTCTTGAATTTTAGACCTAAATATGCACCACTTGTAGTGGTCTACCGATCATGATGTTGCAATACTTTTTACAGAAGCGTTGGGCCTAACAAAATCAAATAATTCAATTTATCTCACTAGTTCTATATTTCCTCAAACAAACCCTTAATAATAATATATAAGGAGAAGGAAAGTTAAAAACAAAAATCTGAAAGAATGTTAGTCTGAGAGAAAGAGAGAGAGAGAGAGAGAGAGAGAGAGAGGGGGGGGGGGGGTGACAACTGGGACGAGGTAGTTTCTTATGAATGGATATAGAGGGGATAGACACTATGAACATAACTGACAAAGAAAGCGGACAAAATATACAGTTCCTCAGGTAGACAAAGGAACATCCCTTCACT